TTCTCATGTTAACAGAAGTGCATGAAGACGACAGCTTACAAGGATGTTATTCAAAACATTTTTCCAAAATTTGTATACTTAAGATATTCCCTTTGCAATTATCTCAAGTCATCACAAAAGGGGTAAATATGGATGTGATGCAGCAATAAACCTCTTTGGTAGTCAATATATTTGCGCCCTTGATATCTCTATGTATGACACCTTGCTCGTGAAGATAAACAAGTCCTTCCAGCACCTGGTTCGATATGTAAAAAAATTAATACCGGACATAGCAAAAACAGGAAAGTTGCAGGTAATCATCATATTCACCTGAGCAATGTAGACGGCCACCAATGATTCAGGGAATGGCCCAAATTTGTTTGGCTTGATAATATTGGCAAGTGATCCATTCTCCACATACCTGCAATCATCCCATGAGGATTAAAACTTCCAAGCTAAAAAAAAAAAAAAACTAATAGCCTAATAGGTATAATCATATCAAGAAACTGTCATGAGGATTGTGAACTGCTTACTCTAGAATGATATGGAGGTGACTCCTTGTCTTCAATGATCCAAGATACTTCACAATATTTTTGTGATTCAGATTCTGCGTAAAGTGGCAGAACTTAGAATTCGCAGCAATACAATTTTCTTGCGAACGTATATACATTTCAGATATCAAGAACCATTTAATTTCAAGTACAATAGATTATAGACATGACCACTAACCACAGAAGAAGGAACGGTATCATTTTTCATTAAATTTTGGGCATCAGGGCATCCATAGGAACATGTAGCTAAACATTTAAATAGAAGCTTGTTGGGTGTATAAAAATAAGTATACATTGATGGAACTCCAAAATTTTCTTCATAAATTTGTTCATGTAAGGCTATAGCTATAGAAGCATAATGATAACAGCAACACTTACATCCAAAGATAAAGGGGAACAGATGCAACAAAAACAAGGATAGGCGGGGATAAGAGATTATTTAACCAGTAAGATGTGTTATTTAGTTTTTTGTCAAGTACAAATATGATAAGTAAATAATGTGAAAGAAAATGAAGACTTACTTTCAAGAGATCAATTTCTTGCTGAATCAGCCACAGCAGCATACCATGAACGGAAAAGTCACAATAAAAAACAATTTATTAGAACAGCAGACTACAGCAATACAATAGAAATTATAAAATGGTGATATTCAAATAAAATCTTGACAATGAAAGCACTGAATAAGATAGCACAATATGGTGGTAGGATAAAAAAAGTATAGGATTTATCAGGTTGTGCTAAATGTCAACTCCAAGCACTAAACCATGCATGCACCAAATGACAAAAATAAACAATAGCTCGTGCAATTAGTTCACTTTAGCAAAAAGTAACACCAACAGATTAAACTTCTAAAATTTTTTGGTTTGGACTCCTTTATGAACCTCAACACCAACAGCTCCTTTGTAAATTTTAGCTTAGCACATGTTGGCACAAATAAACATTAATCATGTAGATTTTTCACTGACTTTTTCAAGTTTCTTTCCTAAGTCAAATAGTGTTTCAATATTTTCACCAAAATGTGTATCTGTAGTTGAACCTACCGTGGCCAGATTTTGGTTCATGGTTCAAGTTGACAATTCGATGATTCACATTTAGGGTTCCAGCAGAGTGAATACCACTCTAGCTAAGAAATCAGAAATGGGGTCCGTGAACCCAACATCGACACCCAACTCTAGTACAAAATGTTGTATAAAAAGGTCAAGCTGTATTACAGCTTTCCGTGGGTTAATGATAAAAAGGAGAAAAGGGAAATGAATAGTTATTGCCTCCTACCCTTCAAACCCAAGGCAGTCATCTCCCTCTGTCCTTACCTGCCCACTGAAAATTCTTCTCTCTGTCCACCACATGAAGGTAGACTGATAAACAAGAGAAGTCACAAAAAAAAACTGAAGTAGACATTGGTGAGTGTAGCAATGGCGATGGCTTCAGCAAGCAGCAAGCCAGCTGCGACAATGTGTGCGGGAATAAAAAATTAAAAAGGAACAAGGGTGACAACTTCACTGGGCAGCAAAATGGATGAGTGACAGCAGTGGTCATAGCAATGAAGGGGAGAAACAGAGGTGGCTATGGAGACCAAAAGCCCCCATGAACACAGGACCGGAGGACAACAGCAAGGATAAGGTGTCAGTGTGAGCGTTGATGGGTTCACAACCAGATAGTGAATCATACTAAGTTTTGGCCTGAATCACTTCACTGCAGGGTTATCGTGGCTCACAGTCATTGCCGCAAATCTGGTAATTATGATCTGGACACAAACGGAAGTAACTAGAACATGAGCTCCATACTATTGCATTCGATAAACATATAACCTACCACACAATTAAACCAGCTATTTTATACTTCCTCCGTTTCATATTATAAGACTTTCTAGCATTGCCTACATTCATATATATGTTAATGAATCTAAACATATATATGTGCCTAGATTCATTAACATCTATATGAATGTGGGCAATGCTAGAAAGTCTTATAACCTGAATCAGAGGTAGTATCACCCTAGCGTATCTGGCCATGTGTTCAGGACTTCTATTACATGCCTGGATAGGCTTAGGAAGCTGACTAGTGAATAACTGAGCTAACAGAACTCCACTCTATGATTTAGTTCCACGTCACGCTACCGAACAAATCGATATAGCAAACAACAAGCAGTATTTCCCCAATTTCCAGACGCACTTATCCCTGTTGAGGTCGCTGCTGCCCGTTTATCAACTCCCGACAGCCACATTTCACGTAATCGCATACATCATCTTTTTTCCTTTGGCACACGTTATGCATCATAAGAAAGGCCCAAAAAGAAAACCTCACCATGATGATGTTGAGATCCTCCTGCGGGATGTTCTCCAACGATACTTGCTTGATGGCCACGAAGTCTCCATTTTCCAGGTCAAGCCCCTTGTACACTCGCCCATATGCTCCCTTCCCTATTTCATCTCCGAGCATCTGCACCGGCCCCCACACCCCCCCCCCCCCCACCCATGCACACAGTCAGTGAGCGAAACCAAACCCAAAATTAACACCACCAGAACACGAATTCCACCCGGATCCGAGGCGGTAGGCTCCGGAACACTCACATATTTGTTGTCGAGCGTCTTGTTCTTGTGGAACTGCGCATTGTGCTGCCGCGACGCCATCTCGCCCCGCCCCCCACACACACCCACCCCGAGATCGGGCCCCGGACGCCGCCGTCCGCGGCGGGGGCGGGCGGATCGGGGGTCACTGGCGGCACGGGAACGGCTCCGGCGAGCCCGCCGCGAGGGCCATTTAGGTTTTAGGGTTTGGGTGGGAAGGGAATTGGAGGTCGAGGCGGAAGCAGGAGGAAGAAGAAGAAGACGGAGGCGATGGAAGAGAGAGAGAAGGGGAGGAGAGATGGGGGGCTTTTCCGTAATTATTTTGTTTTCGGGGGGCGTGGGAATCTAACGGAATGAGAGGGCGGCTTTTATACTCGGGGGTGTACTTTTGAAGTGGGCGGAAGCCAACGAGGATATTGAGAGATAAGCGGAGGAAACCACTGTCAATTAGCTGTCCTCAACTAGCATCCGCGATTTTGTAGCACATCATCCGGGGCCCCCTCGATTTTTCTTTCCAAAGGAAAAAATAGACCATTTTTGTCCGCTGCTTGCGTCATTTCTTCCATGGCTTTCTTTTCCGGTCATTCTCTAGTGGCGTGTAAGGAGATTTTTATATTTATTTGGTTCTACTAGGCTGGTTTCTGTCGTCGGCGTTGCAACAGTGTCCTTGTGCACAAGAACAACCTTAAGGACCACAAAGACTATAGAATAATTATTAAAATAATAGATAATGATTAATATATATATATGGTCGACTGATAAAAAGATGGTGAGTAGTTGTGTACTATATAGAATCATTGTTAATAAAGCATTATTAGATAAGTAGCTGGTAACTCTCTTTATTTGTTTTCCGCATCCTAGCTCATTCTCTCCATATCTAAGCTTCCAACAATAAAATGATGTTGGTTGCTTTCACAATCATCTCTGCCTCGAAATTCAAAATAAATGGCATTTTTATTAATTATGTGACTCAATAAAGAAAATTTACATGTCTATAGTTTGGAAGAAATCAACTAAAAATTAACGGAGTGTTCAACTTCCATGATAACCTATAGGCAACAATATATATTTATCATCACACCAAATCACCAATGTAACAATAATGGCAGCATAGAGCTTAAGAAATAATCTGGACGATTTTACAATTGGATGATGTTGGTAGGAAATGAAGGCAGGGAGGGGAAGCACCAATGATACAGCGATAGAGACACGGCGCACTCATGGGTATGCTTTCGATTGGATTTTAGTAAGATTATAGAGTTGCCGCTAATTTCGTCTTTTTGATAGGATTTTAGCAAGATCATAGTTCAGTTGTTGATCTTTGTCTCTTTAAGCGTATTTTGGAAGATTTCTTGCGGGTACATGTGAGCAGTTAATATGTGAGCTTCTAATAACTATAATTTATCCTAGAATAGATTATCATCAGATTATAAGAAACTATAGTTGTATAATTCATAAGCTAGGTTTAATCATAAGCTCTATTTAGCAGCTTCTCTAGACTCTCATAAACTGACGACCAAACAACATATTCGCTTGTGTAGCAAAACCTTTCACTCAGCAAGCAGCTTCTTCTCTTTTTCTCAGCAACGCGGTGGAACACCCATCATGGCACTGCCGACTACGTGTCGGCGCGCGCCAACAGCTACCATACCATACCATCACAGCACGCTAATTGTACGATAGAAGTAACCCTAATCATGGATACGAATATACGACGCAGTCAGGTCAGTTGGTTGCCACCCACAATGTGGCTGCCACTTGAACATGTTATTCTTGTCCTTGTGAGTGAACTTGAACATTTTATAGAGAATTGGCTATTTTTCTTCAATATTGATGGCAATGCAGTTTGCAACTTAAAGACATGCACAAAGATTCAAGAACATACGTACACTGACAAGAAACATTCAAGAAAGTACTTTTGCTCTCTAGAGCTGGAAGCAGAAATTTATCTTGGGTAAACTTTGGAAGTTTGAATGGACAAGGTCATTGATCCGATTATTGTGTATATAATATAATTGCATACACTAATCACAGTGGGCATCCTCTAGTGTCTAGAGGAAGTGTTCCAAAATCTCACAACAATTCTTTATTTCAGTCGTGCCAAAATGAATAGAAATCCTCAACTAAATAGTGATACAGCATGAGCAGACTTCAAATTGTAACACAGCTCACTCGCCGCTTAGGATAGGGTTGATCAGTGGCTTCAGCTGCGCAAGATAGACGATTGCCCACCTGCAGATAAGCATTAACAAATTACTACCAGAAAAATTGGCATCCGGATTGTCACACCCAGTATGGAGCTTATCAAGCAAAAGAGGGAAGATCAATGATGGAACCATCATGTAAGCAAGGCGGCAATACAACGACAATCAGATATCAAATCTTAAAAAAGAAGCCATAAGAAATATGAGTGACATTACTCCTTCAATAAACTATCCAGGATATCTGGCTCTCATGGACCCACAACCAAAGAATAAACAGACTTATATTGAGCACATGCAGGTTACAAGAACCAATGGAGTGAAACTATAAGTCAGAATCAGATTGAGTTTCAGCGTACAACTAATACCACCTGTTCTACTTTAACAAGAGTTAATCATCAGTTCATATTGCTCCTAGAAATTTAGACCTTGCAAGATTACCTACTAGTCAATAAAATAATGTCACCATTGTGCGATTCAAAGTAGACTACATGTAGACCATAAGATGCCAAGTTTTGCTGGTAGTGTGCTTTTCATGTTTGCCAGCAATACTTTTGGGTTTCAATTAATCAATCAGCCTACTGTTAAAATCATATTTTCTGAGCAATCCAGTTTGGATAGACAAACCAGAAAGTGTAAGTGAACAAATGGATCAGAACTTACATCATCCAACAGCAAACCGTTGCTGTAATAACCAAGGTCAAATGGAATCTGCACAAATTAAACATAAGTTAATTTAATAGGTTAGCAAAATAACCACATGCATGTAGACAAAGCTCAACAGCTAACTGCCATATTTCAAACATCCCAGTATTTTCTCAAGACAAGGTAATGATAAGAAGACGGTAGTAATATGATAGAAACACAGCCACACAATTTAGATAGAGTCACCATGCTTTGAGAAGAATATTAATAAAAGAAAGTGTGTGATACAGTACCAATAATGGATATGAACGATGACGATATTCGTCACATGAACATAGTAGGCTAGAGATACAAATACTCTTAGTCACGATCAAATAATTAAGAACACAGGCTAGAGATACAAATACTCTTAGTCACGATACAATAATTAAAAAAACACAGTAGTATATTCGGACTCTTTTCTTGAACCAATCCTTGAAGACTTGAAAGACAGGATAACAAATCAGCACAAACTTTATACTAACCCACAGAAATTGAGGCAGGACTATACCATGACATTATGCCATAGTTCTCCCAAGATCAGTTATAAATCGTTCAGTCTACATATATTACCCTAAATTGTAGTTCTATGCATCGTATTGACCCTCTACAATATTCAATGTCATTTATGCCCCTTTTTTCTTTTCTATGCATTATACATAGCTATTGAAAAGTCCATACTCAGAAGTCAAAAGGGCAAAGTAACGTCTTCCTGTTCTCTCATTCACAATGAAAATAAGTCCATACTAAAAAGAGGCCATTCTTAATGCATCTGACTTTAAACTGGCATTGTAGTTTCCAGTCGAAAATAATGCGTGAGTGTGACTGTGTGATCTAATGACCCATGTTTTCCCGGCTCCGGTAATTTTGTCCATTAGAACCTCGTAATATGCACTGAAACAATATCATCCTACGGCAGCATGTGTCAGAATCTTTTTGAAGAAAAATCTAATTGGCATATTATTAGAGTAATTGAACCACTCGAATTAGCTCTGAAAAGCCAAACCTGGTTACAGCCTACCAATTTCATCTTAAGAGAGGAACATAGGGTAAAGATTGAACAAATTTGGGGGTTTTCGCACGAAGTCACTTCTTTTACTGAACATGGGCTAAGATCAGCCGCTACCCCCATCGATCCAACCGTTTCAACCGTTATCCGATCGAAAAGACGACGCAATCTCAACGAGAAATCTACCAATAGAGGAAATCCTTAGCCCTACACAATACGCCCAAATCTAGATCAAAACCACCATCCGGCGGGTCAAATCCGCCCGAATCGCGCCCGCCCCGATCCGAAAGCTCCAGGCGGCATACAGGCGATCCCAATCACACCACACCAGATCAGCAGCTATCTGAAGAGAATCAGCGGGGGGGAAGAGCGTACAGGTTGGTCGACGGCCCGCGGTTGCAGCAGAGCAGCGAGAAGAGGGAGGCGACGAAGCCGGCGAGGAGGAAGATGAGCGTGGTCACCCAGAACCCCATGGCCGGCGGAAAGCTCTCCGATCCTCTCCCTTCCCTTCCCTCTCGATCTCTTTCTTCCCTCGGGATCGCTCGCTGGGTCTCGTCGTCTCGGGGCGGAGGTGGGGTGGGGAGAGACGGAGCGAAGAGGAACAGGGGTCAGACGTGTAGTCGGTTTAGGGGTAGAGAAGACGACACGATGAATTGGGCCCGGGCTCCTTATCTGGGCCTTGGCCTGTTAATAAGTTTGGGCCCACAAAACTGTAAAGAACAAGTGGGCCCATGTGATGGGGTGCGCACCGGTGTTGTACGGAATAAGTTTAGTTTAGGTCTCTCATGTTGAGATCGAGTAGCTCTGCTTCGCTCCGGGCGCCGACTTGCCGATGAAGGACGATGAAAAGGAGGTGCCTTTGGCTTTGGACATCACCATGCGTCCATGCCCGTCGAGAAGAAGTTGGTCGTGATCGCTCCGGCCGCCACCATTCCGGCTGTGAGCGAGAAGAAAATGGCTGCTGTGGACACCGACATGCCGAGCAGAGTGGCTCCTCAAGCCACCGACACACAAGCCGTGGCTCCTCCGGCTGCCGCCATGGACAAGCAGAAAGTTGCTCATTTGGATGTCATTACGCCAAAGATGATCACTTAGGACAACGCCATGTGAACAAGCACATTTGGGGGAGTCAGGATAAGCTAGATTTAGGTTAACGAGGGTTTATTGTGTACAATAGTTAGCTATTTTGGCTGTGTTTAGTTCGTGTGCTAAATTTTTTTTAAATATACGGACATACATTTAAAGTATTAAACGTAGACTAATAACAAAACAAATTACAGATTCCACCTATAAACTGCGAGATAAATCTATTAAGCCTAATTATTTCATCATTATTAAATGTTTACTGTAGCACCACATTGTTAAATCATGACGTAATTAGGCTCAAAAGATTTGTCTTGCAATTTACATGCAAACTGTGCAATTGGATTTTTTTCGTCCACATTTAATGCTCCATGCATATGTCTAAATATTTGATGTGACGAAAAAGTTGAAAGTTTGAAGAAAAAAAGTTTAAATCTAAACACGGCCTACATCATCTACCCACAGATTTAAATGCTTTTTTTTATCTTCTTCTTCTAATTTTCTGCCTCTTTCTTCATGTCCACTCGTTTTCATAAGAAAGCAACTAGTCTGACCTCACGTGGACCCCACAATCATGTTGACGAGGCTGCGTTCGAGCGCAGGAGAAAGAGAGAAAGATAGTTTTGTTTTCCACACGCACGCTTTCCGAACTACTAAACGGTGTGTTTTTTGTAAAAAATTTCTATAAAAAAGTTGCTTTAAAAAATCATATTAATCCATTTTTAAAGTTTAAAATAATTAATACTTAATTAATCATGTACTAATAGCTCACCTCATTTTACGCATCTTCTCAGTCTCCTCAATCCCGTCCTTCTCGAACACTCAATTAATCATGTGCTGCCTCTTACGCCTGGGAGGGAGTGTGTCGTCGACTATTTAGCCACCTGCTCCCTCCCTCTCTCCACTCATTTTCCTGCCACCTCACTACTTTTGCCACTATAGGCACACTACGGTCGGCTAAACTTTCTTACTACGTATTATACTTGCTCTCATACAGCGGCGTGGTGATTTGCTGCCCATCTACACGAAATTCCTTTTCCAGCCGCACCGCATCCGTGTCGGAGTCGATGCGGTTCCCAGCCGTGTCGGATTCGATATATCCGGCTCCCGGCCCGTCAATGTATACTAGGCGAACTTGGAGGACGTACTGTACTGACTGGTGTTATTATGACTGATCTGCAGGGAGGAGAAAAGACAATGGAGTTTGATGCAAGCTGCGGAGCAATGCGTGGGAAACTGACGTGTTCCGTCGTCTTGACAGTCATCTCCCTCTCTCTGGGCATCTTGTGTGCGCTCCTCAGTTTCCTCTGGCCCAGCATATCAGTGGATCACCGGACCTTGGGATTGTTGTTCTCGGTCATTTTCCTGATCGGAGCCGTGGTTCCAGCTTGGGATCATTACAGAAAATTTGGATGGTCTGTCTGCGTCTCCCAGATCGAGGAGCCTTACCAACCGAAGACGATGCAGGCGGCGGCGGCAGCGCCGGATTCTGATCGTGATCGTGCCGGAGGTCATCGCAAAGTATATGGCGTTCGAGGATTCCGTCGTCTTCGTAGGCACCACGCTCTCCCAGGGGATCGTGTGTGCGCTCCTCAGCATCCTCTCGCCCGGCGTATCATGGGAGTACAGGGCCTTCGGTGTGCAGCTTTCGGGGATTTTCTTGGTAGGCGCCGCGTTTGGAATTTGGGAGCATCACAAGAAATTCGGATGGTCTGTTCCACGGGTCGAGGAGCCTAACCAACAAGAAGTGACCGGTGATGAATTATGCTGATGAAGTATTCTCTCGGTGTGGGGTTGAATTGTTGCTCATTTTTGGCATCAAATTCACTACTCCATTTGTTTCATATTATATAAAATAATAATAATATTTTTAAACCAAGACAAATATATTCAACTACAGATTTAATGAAGCTAATTGGATATTGTAAATAATACAATATTTGTCTACAAACTTAATCGAACTTGAAATAGTTTAATTTCAAAAAAAATCAAAAAGATTTATAATCTGAAAGGGAGTACCAAATACGAGAAAGTGCATCAGTTCGTGCGTGTGTGCATGCACACCAATTTTGTAAAAGACCGGTTGTGATCACGGTTGCGACCATAGCTATTCTGTTTGGTGTAGCTTCATATTTTAAATCCACAGTTGATTTGAAATTTATGTGTTAAATTATAGTGTTTTAAAATTTTATATTTCATCATGAAAATAAGATGATTCATTTAAATGATATTAATGAAATTAAACATCCAGATTTATAGGTTTGTGGAGCTAGAACATTCAACTCCACAAAATCTCATAGAGGTAATTACAATTGATCGACCTGTACTACCATCTAGAAACCAGAATCTGATTTTTTCCGTTAAGTTAGATCATTCTTTCTCCTTATTACCATCCAGTCGCGGTGGCTCTGCGCACGGACTACACTGGACTTCCTGCTTCGATCGGGCGACACGCAAGAAAAAACGCCGATCTCTGCATGCGCTTGCTGTTCCTAAACGTTTTTGCGCGATGGATGACTTCGTGACATGCTAAGACGACTAAGCATTGACGTTAATTCGTTGCGCTGTTCTAATATACACGTTTTCCTTGATGATCTCAGTTGAATATTATTCTGACCGTTAAGCATAAGATCGAGCTTAATTTGTTACGTACGTCAAAGAAAGATAAGAACTTTGGGGTTAATTTGGTCTTTCAAAAACACTTTTGAAACCCTTAAGATATCAAGCAGTTATATATATATATATATATATATATATATACTTTCTCTATCTCAAAATAACTCAAATTATGATATGACGTGAGTTGTTTTATTGTTAGAATCCCTATGTTGTTAAAAATGATGACAATATGAATTAATATATAATATATCACTTCACCTCTACAAGTTGTATATACGGTTTGTGTTAATTTGTTATGTTTGTTATAATTTATAGAAGTTGAATTTGAGCCTACATATTTGTAAAGTGATATATTATATATTAATCATCTTGTAAAATATTTTTAATATTTTTTTATAATCCTTTAATTAACATAGAATAATCAAATAAACATTTACTCGATTGATTATAACAGTTTCCCCATTAGGGAGGCAAAGAGGCGGCGAAGAAGGGGGTCTGTGTGTAGGCGGCGAGCTGCAGGTTAGAGCCGAAGAGGAGAAGAAGGAGGTTCGGAAGGGAGGGATGGCAAGGAGGAAAGATGATTACAATGGGTGCAGCAACAAAGATTGGGGGCAAAGAGGTAGCTTCAGGGAGGAGGAGGAGGAAGGTTTTGGAACAGGCTTTCAGGGAAGTCGCATGGGGTTTGATCCGGGCTATGGTTTTGGGCAGCAGGGTAGCTTCGGTCAGAGGTGGTAGAGGCATGGTTACCGCCTGAGAGGGGCTCGTGGTTTTGGCCCAAGGCGCAGCAGTTTTGCAGGAAGACCAGGGAGAGGGTCAGCAAGAGGATTCAGGTCACAACGTCCAGCTTTTGATAGGAAAATGGATGATATGGGAAGAAAGGGAGAGGAGAAGGGGGGAGCTGCTAGCTCGGAGAGGAATGGTGGTGCAGGCCGGGTGAAAGTGGGGGAGGTGGAGGTCCCCCACTTTAAAGAAGAGAGTGATTCTCACTAAGGACAATCTAGCAAAAAGAAATTGGAAGGGCAACACTAAGTGTTGTTTTTGTAACCACAATGAAACGATACAACATCTCTTCTTTGATTGTCATGTTGCTAGATTTGTTTGGAGTACCCTTTTTATAACATTTGGGATAAATCCGCCTAACAATGTTGCTAATATGTTTGGGATTTGGCTAAAGGGTTTGCAATCTAGGCTAAAGCACCAAATTTTTATAGGGATTGCGGCGTTGTTGTGGGTAATGTGGATTTGTAGAAATGATGTGGTCTTCAATGGCTCCAATTTTAACTCTTACTTGCAGGTTATTTTCAGGGGGACGTATTGGGCTCGACAATGGTCCTTGCTGCTTAAAGAAGATTAGCGCGATGTGATGAAAGAAGGATGCAAACTGTTAGAGACATCTATCATGCACTTCTTTGGTAAAGATGGATGGAACATGAGAAAGCGGTTAAAGGAGTAATGTGGTCGTTAGTTTGTTTGGAAGGTCTTTTCACTTTGAAAGGCGTTGGAAGTCTTTGTGCTCTTTTAGTTTTATGTAAGGTGCTTGAGCCTTTGTGATCCTTTTGTTTGTGAACATGTGTGTATGAACTGAGCTTGTTTGGTCAGATTTTCTGTGGCTGTATACACCCCCGTTGGTGTAGAAGCCGGGTTTTATAAATTCCCATTATCTAAAAAAAATTAGCGACCCCAGCGGATTCGGGCAAGCGCTAGTAGATCAAGCCTCTAGTCTAAGGGTGCATTTCTCGTTTTTTATTTTCAGTTTTTCTTTTTGTTTTTTCCTGGTTTTTCCCCTTATTTCTTTCGATTTTTAACATATACATATATATAAATTTTGTATTCATGCGTATACAAAGTTTGTATACATACGAATAAAAAAATTGTATACGTGGTGTTTTTTTCTTGGTTTTCGGTTTTTTAAATATGTATGTATTTATATATATAAACTTTGTATACGTGTATACAACAAACTTTATATACACGTGGTGTTTTTTTTTTGTTTTCGGTTTTTTAAATATGCATACTTTACATACGTACCACCTATTACTACTAGGACTGCCTACTACCTCTACTACTACTTTTATACTACTAGTAGTAGTACTACTACAACTATACTGTTACTAGTAGTAATACTACACTGTTGTACATAAAATTTAATTTATGTACATGTATGTAAAATTTGTGTAAAATAGGGTAGTAGTACTACTAGTAATTATAGTAGTAGTAGGTGGTACTAGTACTGTACTATAGGAGGAGACCGCGGGGGCGGCTGGGCGCGCCCATTAGCAGTGGCTGCGCGGCTCTCTGCACTCACTGTTCTTCCTGCAGTCCTGCTTCGGGGGATCACTGATTTCACATGACATGGTTCACATCTTCTTCTTATTTTTTGAAACTTAAGCAATTTTATTAAATAAAGACAGATAAGGAGGATATGGTTCACATCTCACATTAACAAAATGCGCCGCTTGCTGTCACATTCCAGTAGTTCCCAGGACCAAGCAGCTTTTCGGCTTTCGCTAGATGATGATCGTGAATTCGTGACTCCTGAACGCGCGGCCGGCGAAACCGTCGTGCGCAAGGCGTGTTTCTTCGGAGTTCGGATCACACGTTCACACGCGAAGAAGAGAGAAGACAAAAGCATTGACGTTTGTTGCTCCGTTCACAGATACGTCTTCCCTGATGTATCATCCCATTTGAATATAGACCGGCTCGTTAGGGACGTGATATTTGGGGGTTTAAAATTGATCCCGCTGGACTTTACAGTGCATACGCACTCACAAGTCACAAGTACGTTTATACATATCCATTCCGAACACGTTCCAGAAGACGAATGGTAATATGGGATTCGTGTTAATAATTACCAAGACTCGTTCTATGTATCTGAGTGAACGTACGTTAGTTCCTCGAAGGAGATGGGGCTGCTTCTAGTTCCTATACTTAATTACATGACATGTCCTAACAGAATTCTTCAGGTTGAAGGCTAACTTAAACCTTCATATTATACTGCTAACAGCCTTCTTCCGGGAAAAAAGGTACACATCCACATGCCGCAAAAGGAAAGATAGTTTATTCAGCTGTTTTCCGATCAATAAAAGGAAAAAAAAATCATTCATGCACAACTGCATGCAACAGTACCAACCAAGTGAAATTTGACGACATTTGACTCTTTCACAAAGTCACCCGGCTCATTTTTCTGTCAACGAAACAGAGGATTACACGAGACAGTGCCGATCTAGCCCAGGAGAAACAAGGGAAAACCACACCTGATTACTTTTTCTCGCGGCTCGCGGGTACAAATACTGGGATCAGCGCCCGCTGTATCTGTCCATCTCTCAATTCAAATCACCCACGTCAACAGAAGTAATCAGCCACATTGGCAACTGGAAATGTGTGAGGGCGGAAGGGCAGCAGCATCCATGGCTCGCACGGCGAGCGCGTCCCGGCGACAGCCGGAGACGACCAGCCTCGCCGTGGATGAGGCCGGAGGCAGGGCGTCGCGGAGGCCGAGAGGATGGAAAGCCGTCGGGTTCATGATCGGTCTCTCTCTCCTTCCTGTCTGCTCATGAATTCGTACTCCCTCCATCTCGAAAAAACCCACCTAGTATTGAACGAGATATTTTCTATTGCAATAAATCTGAATATAAAAAATGTTTCATTCAATACTAAATTGTTTTTTTACAGAGGTAGTACTACAGTTCATGATAAGTTCAAAATTTGAGCCACTGTTTTGTTTTTTAAAAAAGCAAGAACAATTTAAGAGTGCTGCTTTGTGAGCTAATGACCAAATGCTTTTTGGTGTGCGTGGAAGCAGGGCTCTACCTGGCAATCGCCATGGCGTTGAACGCGTTCGCCCAGCCCGTCACCAACTACCTCATCAAACGTTACAACATGAAGCCGAATGCCGCAACAAACGTGGCCAACGTCTTCAGTGGCACCTACAGCTTCTCGCCGGTGGTCGGAGCCTTCGTCGCCGATGCGTTCTGCGGCAGGTTCTGGACCCTCTTGTTCGGAGCCGTCGCCGCCTTTGTTGTAAGTGATCAGCATTGCATCCATGACCCATCAGAAAACTATTTAAAAATTCTCGAAAGATATATCTTGTTATTTATACATGTCATTCAAATAATTATGATTTTTTAAATAAACAAGATAAATTTATTTAGAAACATATAAAATTTAATTTAATTTAAATATAAGATGCAATGAATATAGGTTAATTTGTCATAATCAATTTTATTGATTTTTTTAAAAATATTTTCATAACTATTCGGATAATATGCGAATAATTAACGAGGGAATGTTCTGGAGAGTTTGGAGTCCCCTCTCATCATCCATCTCTCGCTTATCAGGTTAAGAGACGAAATTAATGGCTGCTTATCCGTGATCTCCTCTCGCCCATGCAGGCAATGGTGGTCATCACGCTATCGGCGACGATCCGTCAGCTCAAGCCACCGTCGTGCAGCGACGTGGCACGGCAAGCCGGCACGTGCGCGGGGCCGTCGGGCCTCCACCGCGCCGTGCTCTACATCGGCATGGCGCTGCTCGTCGTGGCCACGGGCGGCGCGAACCCGACCAGCCTGCCGTTCGGCGCGGACCAGTTCGACCACGACGACGCGAGCAGCGGCAGCAGCAGCAACGAAGCCGACGAGCGACGACGGCGCGCCGAGGAGCCCGCGGGGCTCAAGCGCTTCTACAACTGGTACTACGTGGTCACCATGATGGCCTCGTTCATGGCGCTCACCTTCATCGCGTACATCCAGGACAAGGTGAGCTGGGGCCTCGGCTTCGGCATCCCCACGGCGCTCGTGGCCGCCACCTTCGCCGTGTTCCTCGCCGGCACGCCGCTGTACGTCCGCGTGCCGGCCGAGGGCAGCATCTTCTCGAGCGTCGCGCGGGTGGTCGTCGCGTCGTGCCGGAAGCGGAGGCTCACGCTGCCTCACCCGCGCGACGCGCGGCAGCAGGAGGCCGTTCTGTACAATCCTCCCGTCGTCGTCGCAGCTGGAACGGGAACCAGCCGCGTCTTCAAGCTCCCACTCACGTTGCAGCTGAGCTTTCTGAACAAGGCGGCCATTGTAACCGCCGACGCCGACGAGATACGGCCGGACGGATCTCCGGCGAGGCCGTGGAGCCTGTGCAGCGTGCAGCAGGTGGAGGAGGTGAAGTGCCTCGTCAAGATCGTCCCCGTGTGGATCTCCGGCGTGATGTGGTTCATCTCGGTGGCGGAGCTGACCAACTACACGTTCCTGCAGGCCCTGACCATGGACCTCCACATGGGCAGGAGCTTCACCATCCCGCCCGTGTCGATCGCCGCCATATTCAACCTCGCCATCGTGCTCTTCGTGCCGGTCTACGATCTGCTCGTCGCCCGCGCAGCGCAGCGCGTCACCGGGGTGGAGGGCGGCATCACGGTGCTGCAGAGGCAGGGCGTCGGCGTGGCGATCAGCGGCCTGGCGCTCGTGGTCGCGGCCGTCGTCGAGCGCAGGCGCCGGGCCTCCGCCTTGGACAACGGCGGGACGTCGCCGATGTCGGTGTTCGTGCTCGCGCCGCAGCTCGCCGTGATGGGCGTCTCGGCGGCGTTCAACATGATCGGGCAGATGGAGTTCTACAACACGGAGTTCCCGGACCAGATGCGCACGCTCGCCAACGCGGCGTTCTACTGCGCGCAGGGGGCGAGCAGCTACCTGGCCACGGCGGTTGTGAACGTCGTGAACGCGAGGACGAGGCGGCGCGGCGGCGGGCAGGGCTGGGTCGCCGAGGACATCAACGCCGGGAAGCTGGACCACTTCTACTACGCCATGGCCGTGTTCGCGGCGATCAACTTCGTCTACTTCCTCGTCTGCTCCTACTTCTACCGCTACAAGGGCGAGCCAGAGGTGGCGGCCGAGGACTCGCCACCGGCCACTCCAGAGGCCGTCCTCCTGAAGCACTAGCCAGTAGCTAGCAAGATTGGTTACGGTAGATCACTCTATGATCAATTAATTCGATTTATTATTGGTGTGATTAATAATAAAGTTGCCACTACTGGACGCATCGCGTTTACGGCCCATATAAAAAAAAGCCCATACAACCTGTCACGTGCCTGACATGGCTACCCAGTAGTCCCAGTACCCACAAATGGACCGCTTATATGAGCCGCAAAGGCCGTGATCGAACGGCTATCAGATGCCTTGTATGATGATACTATGATCTGATGAGTACTTCGTAGTCTGCTGTACGATGGAGGCATGGAGCTGAAGGGGATCGACTTCCTGTGTTCGATCTGGGACGCATAAGCTTGATCGAACCGTAGCCATATATCCCAAGAGGGTTCGGAGATTTACTCTCCGAATCCTCAAACCAGCAATAATATCGTGACTGACCGAGCCGGAGGCTGTGGCCCTGAATAATTTTCCGTTTATCTGGGCCGCAAATGGCATGATCCAACGGCTGTCAGATGTCCCAAGGAGGGTCGGAGTTTGAAACGATGACCCCAAGAACACCATCTGAAAAACGACAGATGCAAGGACTTCACTGGTGAGTAATGAGGATGCATGCGAGATTTACTTCACATCATAAATGGCATGCATGATCTGAATATCTCTGATGATAAGATGATGATCGAGTACGGGTCAGCTCGTTGGATGGCGGATGGCCTCGCCGGCGCCGACCACGAAGGGACATCGTGGACGTGCACGATGGCCGCCGGCGGCATCTCTTGCTGCTCCGCCGGCGTGGACGGCGCCGACGCCGATTGGTTGCAGTCTGCAGTCGTCCGCGTCCGCGGTGATTAAGTTTAGTAATGAAGATGCTCTTGCAAGATCGATCAGAATGATGAGAGCTGGCCGCATCCCGGCCGTCCATGCTGAGGTACGGTGCACCCAACGGCGTCTGGGTCGATGTCACCGGCTCCATTCGTCTCCAGCGCCGGCCTGTCAGAGTGAGATGCCAGCTGCAGGAGGCCGTCCGTCCTCCTGAAGCACTATCTAGCAAGATGGCTTCATGCTCTTGAATCTTGATCATGATATAATTAATTAATTTCTAAATTTCCAGTAGATGTGATCGACATAAGAAGCTATCACTAATGAGGATACACACGAGATCGATCTAGTTACATGATGAAACGATGAGTATATAGTTATTTAGTTAGTTACATGATGGAGCAAGCTGGAGGGGGATCCTGCTGGTGGTAGACTACGCTCTGGTCGTACTCGTAGGATGGCCACGCCGGAGCCGACCACGTCGAGGCGGGGATGTAGTGGACGTACACGGTGGCCGGCGGCTCAGGCGCCCTCTTCTCCGCGGCCGCCGTGTACACCTTCTCCTCGGCCGCCGGCGCCTGCTTCTTGATCTGCTGCTGCTCCGTCGACGGGTTGGACGACGACGACGACGACGACGCCGGCGGCGGCCCGATGGTCACGACTTCCGCGCGCTTCCCGGCCTTCCTCGTCCGCTCGATCACGTCCACCGGGTCCGCGCTGCCGGTCACCGTCATCGTTCCCTTCTCCGAGTCGATATCGATCTTGTCAACACCTGATCAACATGGACACATGTCACACTATGCTTCACATTCTTTTTGCACTTTGTAATTTAGAATCAACAGTTCATTTGCTTGTTTCTTCGATCTGTTAATGCTTCATATTAGTATATTTGTTTAAAAATATATATATGATATCGTTGACTTATCACATAATATTTGACTACTCGTCATATTTAAAGAATAATATAAATACAATTAGATATAAGTTAAAATTATAGTATTTTCTTTGATGATAAAAAAGTACCTTGGAGGCCGGAGACGGTTTGCAGGATCTTGCGCTTGCATTTGTCGCAGGAGGTGTCCACCCTGAGCACCGTCTTCTTCGACATGGACGGACTGGTGCGAGAGAGCTCAGCTCTCCCCTAGCTGCTACGTATCCGTGTAGATCGAGTCTTCCACGACGGCAGAGCCGTGCATGCCGGTGTAGCGGGTGCTCTGCTGCCGCGGTCCTTGATCGAGCTAACTAACTACAGCCTACAAATATCTTGCTTGGCTTTTATACTGCTGCCTTTCAGCCTTTCAGGTGGCAGTGAATGGTAGCTCAACTCCTCGAGTAGAAGTATCTCCTTGATGCGTCTCTTCATTGGCTAGCTCTACCAATTTGTCATCAACAACTCTCTAGCTCGCTACTCTACATTTCTAGAACACGGTTCACATTTTTCACGCTACTCTACATTTATAGAACACGGTTCACATTTTTCACTTGGTGTCTGGTGATGCCAAGCAGGTGTCCCGTGTCCTTCAGTATAGTCATATATGGACATTTCTTCAAGATTAACGGCTGGTTGGTAGTAGGCAAGTAGGCAACGAACCTTAACTGCAATTCCTAACTGTTCGTACTTGTAGGTTAGTGTTGCGCTCGCAATACGCAGCCACGTCTCCTCTGTGGATGTTGGTGGTTAGAACAACTTTAACCTATCCATGACTCCATGGGCTATACCTATACATAATTAACAGCCTTTAGCATTCTAGAGCCTAGATATTGCATATATAGACAAGCAATATCAGAAGAATAAGAAACACTTTCTGCATTCGGATGACCTCATTTTAGACATTTAGCGCAACAAAATCACAATACGCCTACACTGAAAATACTCCGGAAAAGAAAGTACAGAAACGACTAACTTGCCAGGCCGCACTAGGATGTCAGAACTCAGATCACAGATTCACAGCAAGCTGAGTATACGGGAATTTATCATAGATTTCCAAGGTAAACGTGGATGCCTCAGTATACAGTTTATTAACTCTTCTTAATGTTTGTCTACTGAAAATTCGGCCTACTGCTGAGGCAAACCACACGGTATACAGGATGTACTACAACAACTACCACTCTCTTACACGTTTTCCCTAGAAGGGAGGAGAACCTGCACATTGGACATGCACACTTGTAGAAACACAACAATCACCAAGATACAACAGACACTTGTCCTATGCCCTTTATATTTCAAGGTCGTCAATGTTGGAGCTGAACCTTTGGAGCTGAACCTTTGTGTCACCTAGGGCCACATCCCTTTGGAGGATCACGTGGATCTCCCCCAACTTCTCCATTTCTAGTGTAGAAATTGACTATCTTTTGATCCAATTTAAAGTAATGTACCATCTTATCCAAGGGTTTCACATCCAGATCAATAAAATATGCCTGCAACAACAAATGTGCAAATCAATGGGTTGGTGGGAAAGAAACATTAATAAAAAGAGTTTTTAGAAAGAAAAAAACAATTGTTCCACAAGGAACTAGATGACTTATCGAACTTCTCAAACAAGAAACATATCACATCAATACCTTGTAATCATAGCTTTGGTTCACTGAATCAAGAAATACAGAATCGTACTCAGAATCTGTTGTTCCACTCTGTCTTGGTCGAAAGCTGATCATTAGGCTACAATCTTTTGCAGTAGCAGAGATAAGAAAGTCCCTGACAATCTTCTCACTCTTGTCCAATGGAAGAGAATGCAAGGTGGAGTACTTGCGCAGAAGTTCTGTATCAGTTATACTTTTGCATACCAAACAAGGCTGAGAAATGATGTTATAGTACAGATGAATCGCCCCTTCGATGTCATGATCATCCAGTTTTTGAGTGGCTAAAAGTTTACCCAACACTCCAGACTTAAAGATTGCCTCTGACAGGAGCTCAATAAAGTCAGATAGTTGTAAGCCAGTAACCTTGCTCAGATCTTCAAGACATTTCTCTGTTTCATTAGGATGAACACTATCTGCGCCACCTCCCATGCCACCAAAAACTAAAGAACCATCCACAAAAATTCTAAAGTTGTTCTGAGGAGTTGAAAAAAATGACTTGATAGCCATATGTATTCTTTCTTTTGATCCAGAAAATAAATCTAGGGGATCGTATTCACTTGTCTTCGATATCTGAAATGTGTTTAAAAATATGTTTAGAACCAAGCTGATTTGAAAAGCAAAAGGGATGATATAGCATTGCAACTTCCAAGAGTGACAGAATGAATATGAAGCATCTATTAATATCTGTTTCAGCTAGAAGAGTAGTTTGTTGTCTTTCAGTGAGCAAAAGAGTAGTGTGCTATTATATATTTAGTACTCAAAATTATGGCTGCGGTGAAATCAAAATCTGGTACCCAAAACCAACATACCTCTCCCAGATGAAATTTTAGGTGCTGATGCATCTTATACCGTGTTACTTGTTTCTTGATAGAATTCTCCTTCGATATGTATTCAGATGACGGAAGAAATCCACATTTTGCCTGGAAGGCAAAGCATGTTAAAAGAAATGTGTACAAAAGATGAACAGTGAAGAAATAAATAAAGCTCAAAATGTACCTTTATCTCCACTGCTATGCAACTGCTTCCTCTAGGATTACCTGAGGTTTAGAAAAATTACCAAAAACAAACATAGTGTTAAAAAACAAAATCTAGCAGCGAGTTACGAATAATAATTTAGCAATGGCGCAATGTAAAAAACTACCGAATCATCTTTAATCATTCAAACTAATCAATTTTGGACCAACTACCAATTTTAGGACGGAAACAAGCTCTTGCGGATGGAACAGATCAGAGTTAAGCTAGAAATTCGAAAAAACAAGCAGGTTCTTTCATTCTTTCCATGTTTCAGAATAATGGAGAATCTTGAGAAATATAAATTGTATGAATCCTTCCAAACATATCCCAAGTTTCACAAGTGTCATGGAGAAAGTTGGGCTTACCAATCTTGATCCTATCTATTTGGTTGTAGACTAGAAAACCATAAATTACAAACTTGCCACTCTTAACAAACAAATAAGGTTAAAGCATGTGATGCAAATAGAAATAATAAACTGAGTAACAGTGTTGCTGCAAATGTTATATCATAAAGAGTTAATAGATCACCAGACCTAACTGATATTTGCTCTTTCTTAGTACAAACAAGAGTCACATTATACTCAAAAGGGAAAGAGATGAAGCGTTCAAATAACATTGAAACGCCAAGACTTTACCGGAAAATAATGTGTGGTCAGAAATTAGAAGAGCAGAATCAGCTCCAGCATCAATTGCACTAGCATTCACTCTCCATGCAGGACGGTTGTCAAGCACATTCTTTCCAGCAAGCTCGAAAAAGTTCTTAGACACACGTACACGGACCTGAACATGAAAAAGAGACCACGTTTATTCATTTTAGTCAAGTGGATCCAATTATCTAATCAAGGATGTATTTTCAAATAACCCGAATTTTCCATTAATTATAGAGCAAAAGAATTTTAAATTGGAAAACGTTGGTTGATTTATTTCTAATAAATATCACCGTAACAACATTAAATAATTGGATTTAAAACATACCCCGCCATCAACATGATTGGCACCCAAATGTTGGCTCATAACAATTGTAGCATAGGCTTGTGGCAAGCAATCATTTTTAACAGATTCCAACAATCCTGGGATCTTGCCCCACAGATGTTCCTCATGACTTGAGAAGACTATACAGTTTGGTGCCGGTTGTCCCTTGTCTTTTAGAATCTTTTTGACTCGCAGAACCTTGCCAAGCTGTTCAAGAAAACATCATCAAAACATTTTTCCTGTAAACATATCATACGAGGGAAACATAATACTTTGGTCACAAACTAAAAATTTTAGTCAACCAAGTCAAGATAAGATTATTTTCTCTTTTTCCTCTCTTCTTTTAAAAAACAGAAGAACCTTGCTCTCCCTCTTTCCATTACAGGAAACAACAATGTTGTAGCAATACAGCAAAAGGAATTGAACAAAAAAACAAAACTAGACCGGGCAGGCAGATCACACAACTAAGATGGCGCCGCCACCACCCCTTCTTTTTGTGTGATCACACAACTAAGATTATTTTCTTTTGAATTATATAATATTAAAGTGAAACTATTTGACTACATGAAAGCTGTATGGGATTTTCTAATTTACATATACAAACATTTGCCATTTCAAGAGTGCAGCTCTGGCCATAGGACATGCATCCCTGGGCGTTGCATCAAAGTTGGTAAAACATCTTTTTGGGGGGAAATCAGGCATTCATTAAACCGGCTTTGTGAGGAAAGCCAAACAAACAGAGTCTTATAGGAAAATAAAAACAGCTAGCTAAACTAGGACAGAAACGACTAGACACCAACTGCTGGGTCCTAGCTAGATCAAGCACAAGGCTACATCTCCAGATCACCTCATAAAACACCATCCAAAACATCTCATGAAAAGAGCTTGAACTACTGTCGCCTCCCAGACACCCAAACATTCATAGCTATAATCATCAGAACATCAAAAGTAAAACATCCTTCTTGAAGCACATGCATCAAATTCGCCGATTTACGGGAGACTATAGGTCAGTAACCAATAATGACACAAGCAGAACCTATTCGATGCATACCATAGAAGGTGACGAGCCAGTGTAGCTGAGGATTAGATTCGCTGCACCTTCTCCTTTGTAAACCCAATCTTTGGCATCCCCCTCATGCAGAACCACCTCCATCCCCACACAGAATCTGCAGGCTTCCAAGTATGAGTTCAAGGTCTATTATTCAAAATAAGTAAGGAGGAATAGTAGGCGAAAAACGAAGTAGGAGGAACAGAAAATTGCTGCTTAACGCCGAGTAACACAGCAAACTCGAGTCCAAGTGCAGGTGCATTCATTTACTCATCTACCAAAGAGAAGATCAAGCGAGAAAGAAGCAACACTTGGTTCCTGGTCGGTGCGGCATTCCGTCGAGCAGATAGCGAGCTTTAGTTGCTTACCAGATAACAACAGCTGCTGCGGCCGTGGGGATCCCCTGCAGCCCTGCTCCGGCGATCGCCGCAGCAGCAGGGCGGGCGGGATGATGCAGCGCGCTCCAAGCCTCCAGCTGCCAATTTCCTCCTCGTCCTCGAGGAGGAGGAAGAGGAAGTGGAAGTGGAGCCGACGATGAGGAAAGCGGCAGATTCCCCTCCCCTGCAAGGAAGGATTAGCAAGGGGCAGGAGGAGACGTGGAGGGAAAGTGGAAGCCACGTGGACGCGGTGCGGGCCCACGTGGCTCGCCAGCTCACGACGCGTATCGGCTACGCCACCACACGCTTCGATCCTCGCCGTCGATCTGTTCGAGCAACGAACGGCGATGGGCGCATCCCCGCTTGAACCCGGGGCGGCGCGTCGCCGCCCCGCCGCCCGCCGCCGCGACGACGCGGCGATGCGCCACCCAGTGCATGTCGCCGGGGCTCCTGGTGGCTCGCGCGCGCGGCCCGATGCGCCGCCGAGACCTGCGGGGCCGGCCACCCGGTGCGCCGCGGCGAGACCGGCTTCTAGCCCCGCCCGACGCCGCGACGCCACGCGCCGCTCCACCGCGCGGGGCCGGCCCAATGCGCCGCGAGACCGGCTGCTAGACACCGCCCGACGCCTCGACGCGACGCGCCGCTCCACCGCGGGGCCACGCCCGACGCTCAGCCTCGCCGCCGGCCGCCCATCCCGGCCAGGCCAGGCCCTTCCGCGCCGACGAGTCAAGAGGAAGATTTGGGGATTTGGGGGAGAGAGTAACGGTGGTGGTGGTGATGGTATCGGCCGAATGTTGATGGGCCTGTAGCTTGCTAACTTGGGTTTCACCGGCCCATTCGGCTCAACCCTGGCAAATTCTAAGTTTCTACTTGGATGAGAAAGCTTTATCTCTCTGATAATAATCATAATCATAAAATCATGCGATTTCAACGCCAAACCAACATCGAACGAAAAAAACGCCGGAACCTACACTGCCGAGTCAGATTCAACATTTTACGTGGACTAATTGATCCCCTTACATAGGAATATTTGAAAAGACACTCGAATGTAACATTTCAAAAGAACAATGCAAACATTATCTGAAAAAAAAAAGAACAATGAAGTTAGACGAGGGGAGGCGAGGTCGAAGCTGAGGAAGATCGGTGCTCGACAGGCCACGGATACTACAAACAGCAATATAGCATGTCAAGCAAGACCAGTTAAGACAAAATCAAGGGGTTTGCACCCAAGCAACCTTCACAGGACGGTGAAAGGAATCAGCATTTTTCCTAAACCAATTGTTTTGCTCTTACAAGATGTACGGCCTGATGGTTACATAATCTATTCCCAGAATGTTACACGACGCACAACAAAAAAGAATGCCGAAGGAAGCGATACTCTAAGGAATGGCAGGATCTGACGAAAACTGCAGTACAGAGTTAAGGTGCAACAAGTTTTCACCCCGGGTCTATAAGAGACCCAATTTGAAGATGTCGCCAGGAATCTCTCCCACGGCTTTCAAAATTTCGGTGTCAGCTCTCCAAGTTGGATAGCTCATTTCAAGATAGGATGCAATTACATCAGATGATGTGCATGCCTGTAATATCTATTGATGTACTTTGCCTGCAATACAGTAGATACAGGAGTTAAAGCCAAGACAACTATATGCATAATCAACTGTTCCAAGATACACCTGAGCTGCAATGTCACATACCTTTACGTTGCTTACATCAGGGGTGTCTGGAGTTTTTACAGGATAAAATTTGTAAAATTTGATATTTTCAAATGCCTCTTTGACCTTAGGGTCCATATCATCAATAGCTTTCTTTCTTGCTTCCTTAGCCTGCATAAGATTTGGAGAAACAGTTAGTACTTGAATGCATTAAAGTATCTGGTGAAGGCAATTAACATTTCGTTTGACTATGACCTGTTTTAGCTCTCTTTTCCTTTCTCTAACCCTCTCCTTTATGAATTCCTGTTAAAAGAAATGTGTCAGCAGTTAGGAAGGAGTACTCAGTGAGGTAATTATTATAGACTGACTATTCTTCTGACAGCTTAAGCAAAAAATTAAGATGCACCTTAAATTTTTCTTTCTCATCCTCTGGTAGCACCTCATCTTTAACTTTCTCATCAGCAAAGTCCTGCATTGCAACAGAATGACTCAATGCAGGTGCCTTTCATAGGAAGCATCAAGCAAAACAACCAAATTAGTACAAACCTCGTAATCATCCATCTCCCAGTCGAAGTCACATACTATCTGCAATAAGCAGTACAATGTGAATACAAAATAATTTGATGACTGCTACGTTATCAACATTGGAGGCATCTAGGTGAACATAAGCAATACAAGTAAATCTAATAAATATCAACATTGGAGGCATCTACGTGAACATAATAACTTCAGTGTTTATATCAGCTAAGAACCAAGTGACTCAGGCTACATTATCGCTTCAGAACAATGAAATGTTTGTATCAATAGCAGGAAATAAACACTGCAACTAAGCTTCCATCCAGTGACTCAATAGTGATCCTGTTTGGTTCGAGGAATGAAATGGGTTTGTCCATCACCTCATTCCTCAAAAGCAAATGCTAAGCTATTGGATGAGGAATGGAGCCATTCCTCAGATTTTGTGGGATGATCCTATGATGGATCGTCCTGTCCAAGATGGTTTTCATGTGGTGATTCCTCAAACCAAAACAACCTGTAAGTGACCAGCCTGAAAGATCAAGACTGACATGATTGCACAACTGCCTACCGGTCAAACTTGAGTGTAGGTGGCATGAAAACACCACATGTACACCTATGCAATTATGCTGACAGACTAAGCAATGCCATAACGCCAGCCCAGCAAGCAGCAATTATTCGATTTAGAGGGAAACAATCAGTACGTCTATGCAACAGCAATTAAGAGGGAATTTATAAGCATGTGGCAGCAGTTAGGAAATAATCATCCTGGAGCAGCAATCGTAGAGGAAAACAATCAGCACACAGAAGCAATTAAAGATGAAAATAGTCCGCATGCAGAGGCAACTAGAAGCACACATAAATAAACCAAAATAGGAAATATTTTTTCAGATTAATGAAGCATAAAGAAGTACACATCTCCTGACTCAACAGACACAAGACACCAAACTTCAGAAGCATCCAACTGAAAATAGTGAGGGTGACAACAATACAACATTGCAGGAGTGCTAGTGCGAGAAATGACAGCAGCAAAAGTCACGATTTCATAGAAGTAGGCAAGGGGAACCAGCAGCATGTGGGTTGGTTTTGACCTCACAAGCTAAGGCAAATGAAGCACCACAGACAAAAGAACACAAATTCATAACTGGCAATCATGACATGGATGCAAGCAGCCTAGAGATGCATACAAATAAGAGAAGATCAATTCTTAGCTGCAGGAAACAGTGAAACACGATAAATTTTATCTTCTCACATAGGCCAGGTGCCCAGGTTAACAATGCAGTTTATAGCAGTGGAGAAGATACAGCTGCATCTGGGCTCTTCCCTAAAATGACTAGCTGACTTAATGAATCCCAAATATAGGCCTAATTAAGATCACAATCCAAGAAATTTATTTTAGTTTTGCCCATTACACATAATATTTTAGGTTTGCACTAATAAGATACCTCCATAAAATAAACTAATAGCTTATGTTGAGGAAAATTTATTAGGCAATACTGGAATAACAAAAAACACTAAGAGAAGATTACCGGGGGTTCTAGGGGATATATGATGTTGACAACTGTATCATCTTCGTCTTCGGGAGGGTTCAGTGGCATATAATCTGCAACAACATTAAACGAGATTCATTTGCAGACTACATCACTCTCAGCCATTTTCATAAAACACTCTGCATCATATAAGTGTAACAATGTAAATAAAATGATCTGATCAACCAGTTGAGCATGATTGTTGACCTTGCGCCATGCTCACACACTTTATAACAAGACTTACACAGTGTGCCTATGTTTGTGCCACAATTGCTAACATTAAAGGAACAAACAACACTGAAAACTGGCTCACTACAGACAATGTTACATAGCTGGAAAGAAGTGCCTTCCTAAGTTAACACAGGATATGTAAATGGCATCAAATTATTATATTAAAATTAAGTACTAACCATCCAACGCAGGCAAATAAGCCAGCTAAAAAGCTTATCAAAGTCAAAAGGCATGGCAGCAATAGCATGTAAATATATCTAGCGTTCACCCATTCCAATGAAATTAACAAATTGTCATACAGAAACAGAATGGAAATGAATTAAAGAATGACTAGTAAAAAGCTTCTTATCCCATGGCATACTGACATTGCAACCATTTAACTAAGACATCATCGATGTCTTGCAGGATATTTTGCAATTGGACTGGACCAAGCCAAGGAACCACACTCAAGTTAACAGGCACTCAAAGAATCCTATGAAAACAGATATTTGTACACACAAAACAGGCCAACAGAAATAATCCCAAGTCAGCTTACATGGCATGCAGTAGTCAAACAATTTGACTCTCTCAGTTTTGAGGTGCCTCAGCGCAGACCTGCAAAACATACAAATGAGGATACTCTAGAATTAGTCAGAAAAAAATCTAGGGAAAGATGTTAACAGTGAATTTATGTTGCATGCTTCTGGATGATAACGTTCCAACAAACAAACAAAAATAAAATAGAACCAGAAATGCCATAAAGCATTAATCGCGAGTAAGGAGGGAAAAAGCATGAATTACTAACCTCCGCTGGGTGCAGCCAAGAGTAAATATTTTTGTTTTCAAACTGTCAATCCTACTAAGCCTGTAGACCAACAAAAAAGAATGAGTAAAACACAAAGCTGCATATGATGATTGGTAAAAACAGAAGCCATTAATGAGGGAGCAAGGTAAGGATACAGGTTCTCAAAAGAAATGGTAAGAAATATTGTTCAGAATTAATAGTATGGGAGTACCGATCCTCCAGCGGAACATAAGGCACCCAGGCCATCTTCATGGCCTTCATTGGCACTATCTCTTCATTTTCCCTTTGGACAGAATTTATGCCAATTTTGTCTGAGGGAGGAAAAGGGCAGTCAACCTGCAGCACAGAAAAGGTAGCAAGTGCTAAATGAGATTCAACATGAGGCAAGTAAATAGTAAAATCAGTAATATATAAACAAGTCAACTGCCAATGACGTTGTAACCATAAAGTATCCAAACAATGTTTTCCAAATTGCACTGTATACTCAATTTTAAAGAGGTTAGGGTTAAAGAGCAAACAAACAAATTCCAGAGTAAAATAGTGTGATAAAAAAAAAAGGGGGCATTGGGTAGGCCATTACTGCAGTGTTCTAGGCTATGCTGTGCTGCCCTGCCCAGCCCTGCGGCACAGCGTATTTGGCTGCTGCAGGAAGCAGCCGCTTACTGCTGGCAGGCTGCAGCACCTGTAGCTGCTGGCTGGCTAGCTGCAGCTAGCTCTTCCAAACAGCGCCAAGGAAATTAGTCCCATTGGCTTTTATGAAACTAAGGTGACTATGTTTGTACTGGCATCTTTCAAAAATGACAGAGGTAGGAAGTACAAACATAGTCACCTTAGTAAAATCAACTTGTTAGCGATGGTGCATAAACGGGATAAGATGTTGAGTTGGCATAAGCATGAGATAAATGTTCAGATTTAAGAGTATTTGCTAAAGTGGACTGTTTCCTCATGCAAATTTCCATATCAAGAGAATGGAAGCGAACTTACAGCAACAACTATAGGAATAAGCACTATCTTTGATTCACCATTAACCTCCAATAGTTGAGCTGCATGTCAGCAAAAACAATTTAATCAGATAAACTGTATCGATGATTATTAAACAATCTGGCACATCCCAAGAACAAATGAAAATATCAGAGACAAGAAAACATTTTTCCACGACAACACCCAACATATCTAAAGTGCACATGGTAAAACAAATAAATGCTGATACCAATCAACTTAGGAAAGGCAGTAGCAACTCGAACATTGACATGGAAAAACAGCATAAGAAATAAATAGAAGTATGGTCCTAAAGGGGACAATTTCATTGTTGGAAATGTCCAGAGAATCTTTCAGTAATGACAAAAACATGCAAGTGTATATCTACAACAATGTGCATCTAAGTTCAGAGAAATATATAATTTTCTCAGGGTGCTACTGCAGTCATAATTAGTGAATTTCAGGGGAACAAACAAACTGATAGATTTGATATTTAGGCCTGTCAGGAACGTCAAAAAAGAAAAATAACATGGTTCTTGTGGGAATAACTATTTCTGTGAAATTAAACCATTCAAAACAGGCCTTCAAGTTATATGTCATAAAGTACACAAAAAAACAAGCTAATATAATCAGTTTAGTTCAGTTACTAAATGCTAGCAAGCCAGTAGGAGAATATATGTATCACGAACTGGAGATTTAATTTTAAAACTAGCACGAGTATGAAAACTTACGCTCCGTGCTTCCAAACAAGTAAACTGTTTTCCCATAAAGCTCCCCTCCTTCTTCTAGTGCTTTCTGCTCACCAACAGGAAACCTTATGTCATGCTGAAAGCAAGTGTGATAATAAAAAAAGAGTAGTATTGGAATACTATCTGCCCATCGTACCTCCAAATTTTCAAAGTTCCAGTTGAACTCCTTTATCTTATCAATGTTTTCCCACTGCAGATGAGAGGCCCGGATATGGATAATAGTTAGCGGAGCAAATATCCATAGTACACAGTTGAAAGTATGTCAAAACATGCATCACTAATTGACTCAGCCATAAATAAAAAAGAAAGAAATAGATAGGCCCATAGAAAGTAACAAACCTCGGTCCCAACCGGAAATGCTGATAGCCAAAGATCCTCCTGAACACAGTAACACAATATTAGCCATAAAACTATAAGTAATCATTTTGCCTGTTTGCAAAGACAAACTGATTATGCTCAAACGTTCCTTTTATATCCATCAAACACATTTCCAAACAATTAATTGCCCTAGAACTGCTTAAATAAACCCATGTGAGTTTTCATTGTTCCAATAATAGCTCAAACTTCACGATAACAAATTCAAGTAATCGTTTCATATAGCAAAGCACTTCACAATAAAAAAACTATTCCTAACACTGACTTAGAAGAACATAAACTGTACAATTCAGTCCCACGCAGATGTGGCTCAAACTCTACAACATAACATTCAACACAAAAACTATTCCTAATGAAATGGGGAGCCCCTATAGTCCAGCCAAATCCAGTCACATATTAACCATTCGTATTTCAACATCAACCACCATTACCATCATTTGGACTAATCCGACCACTACGAATCTCGCCGCAGAAGCAGCAACCAAATACACCACGCGGTCCACAACGCCAAAACGAATCCAGACCAATCAAACCCCCCAACCTAATCGGGGCATAACGAAGCGAAGCGAAGCACGCATCCGAGACAGGTAATCGGGGAAGCCTCCTCCTCACCAGATTCCGCTTCTCGGGGAAGTACTCCGTCTCCGGCTTGGGCTTGGGTGACGCCTTGGCACGCTTCCCCCGCCCCCGCGCGGCCGGCTTCTTCGCCTCTGCAGCCTCCGGCTTGCTGGAGTCCTCCTCCGCCACCGCCGCCGCCGCCGCCGCACGCTTCCTGCCTCTCGGACGCGCCATCTTCTCCCTCTCTCTCGATTGCTAGGGCTAGGGTTTCAGCAGCCGTTTCGATTGGGGATCAGTATTTATGCGTTCGAGGGGTGGGGGTGTGTGCGATTTGGGGGAATCGGCGCGTGAAATCGACGCGATCCAAATTTGAAGCGGGGTTGGAGAAGGGGACTGCGTGGGGTGGGGGCGGGGGAGGAGGAAAATGGTGGGCGGCGCGGGCCGCGTGCGTGGCTGTCTTGAGGGCTTCGAGGACCGTCCGATCCGTTTTGGAAGATGGTTCTGAGCCGTCGGATTTCAGGGTAGGTGTGATGGTCCAGAGAGGGCGAGATGGTCGACGACCAGTGTGGGCCCCGTGGGGAAGTGGAAAGCAAAACAAAATTGCTAGTGCCATGACATGTGGGACCACCAGGCTCGTTCAAAACGTGGATGCCTCCATGGGCCGTGTTGGGCTGTCGGGCCTCTGCATGAACTACTGCACATTATATTATGAGAGTACCTATACATCTTTCGAAAGATTTTTATAATCGTATCACACAGATTTTTAATCTTTGTATTAAAATCCGATAGATATAATAAAAAGAAAAAAGCAATTAAGAAACACCATAATGAACATTAAATTACCATATCCTCAAGAAAAAGACCAAATCAAATACAAAATTTAAAATTTACATGTGAAGATTCAAAAATTACAGTGTAACTTACAAAAGTTACAGTGTAAGTTTCATAAATTACACTGTAACTTACAAGAAAATACACTGTAAATTTGAGTGAGAAAATCGAGTGAGAGATAAGAAAAAATCTTTCAAATGAGATATAGCAAAATCGTTATATTATTACTTTTGGGCTTACAGTAATACAGTACTAACTACTAGTAGCAGTTTATATCTAAAAGGAAAAAGTACACTTTGACTCCCTCAACTATCGCCTGAGTATCATTCATAACCTCCAACCACAAAACCGGGAATATCGAATCCTCCAACTATCGAAACCGGTGCAAACAATGTCCCTCGGTGGTTTTAGAGGTGGTTTTGTCTGACGTGACGCCCACGTGGCAGTCTTGACCGATTCTTTGTCCTATGTGGCGCTTACGTGGCATTAGAATAAAAACAAAATAAAAAAAATATGTGGGACCCATATATCATTCACACAAAAAAAAAGTGTTGTGGGACCACTAACATGTGGGACCCACATGTCATCCTCCCTCTCCTTCCTTTCTTCCTCTCCCCTCTCTCTCCCTTATTTCTCTCTCCTCTCGGCCTTTCTCTTGGCCGGAGCGGCGGCATGGACGGCGATGGGGAGCGGCAGCGGCGGCGGTGGGAACGGCGGCGGCGGCGGTCGGAATACGCCCAGAACCTGTTCCCCATGAGTCCACGACGGTAGACCACGCATATGCATCGCTGGGCTATATAAAGGACCTTAGCTAGCTCACCAACTCGAACCTGGTGTTAGCTTTGGTTAGTTCGTTTCGTTCGTGTAGGAGGAGAGAATATCTTCAAGGGCTTCTCGTCTCGTCTCGTGAAATCCTCATGGAGGTACAGTGCAGCCCCATGTTTCTCTTCCCCATCTCCATGCTGGCTCTCCCCGCCGGAGCGCTCGTCGGCGTCCCCGGTGCCACGTTCGTCGCCATGGTGGCGCCGGGCGGTGGTGCTTGTGCGATGACGACGACCGCGAGGCGCATGGTGCTGGCCGCGGCGCCCAGCGTCGCGCTGCACCAGGGCGGTGGTGGGGGGCCGGCCGGCGCATGCCTTCGCCGCGGCATCGTCTGCTTCAAGGCGGGCGACACTCCGTCATCTGGAGACGACGAGGCTAAGTTATATATCCAATCCACCGGCCACCGCGCTCTTTGTCTTTTTCTTTTGCGCGATCAATGTCATCGACGATGTGTGGGGTGTGCGTTCTTGGATTGTTCGGCGCCTAGCCAAGAATTTTTCTGCCTTGGCGAGGGCGAAGGTGGACGGCTCGGGGCTAAAGCCGGTGCGGCGGTAGGCGAAGCGGAAGAACTAGAGGGCGAGGTCGGCGCAGCCGGCGGCGGCTGCCCCGGAGATGACGCCATGGACGAGCGGCGCGGCGAGCATCGAGGAGAGCAGGCGGATGGAGTTCTCGAGGCGGCAAGCCTCGTCCCCACCGCAATCGCCGCCGCTCACGACCACCGCCCCGTCGCTCCCCACCGCCGTCGTCCCGACCGCTCCCCGTCGCCACCACCACCGGCTCCGCCGCCGCCGCTCCCCACCACCTCGTCCCGACCACCGCCGCTGCCACTTCGTGCCACCCCCGCCGCCGCGCTAGCCAGTCGTCGGCGACTCCGACCCCCCCACCGGGGCGGCTCCCCTCTCGTACCCCTCCCTCCCTCCCGACGGCCGCGGGCTATAGCCGTCACCTCCACCGTGCGTTCCCCACCGTCACTGCCGCCACCGCCGCCGCTCCTGAAGTGAGAGAGATAAGGGAGGGAGAGAGAGGGAGGATGACATGTGGGTCCCACATGAATAGTGGGTCCCACTTTTTTTTAATGACATATGGGTCCTACATATTTTTTATTTTTGTTTTTATTCTAATGCCACGTAAGCGCCACGTAGGACAAAAACTCGGTCAAGACTGCCACGTGGGCGCCACGTCAGCCAAAACCACTGAGGGACATTGTTTGCACCGTTTTTGATAGTTGGAGGAGTCGATATACCCGGTTTTATGGTTTGAGGTTATGAATCATACTCGGACGATAGTTGAGGGAGTCAAAGTATACTTTTTCCTATCTAAAAATGTTGAGTAAGACTTCGGGCCTATTCAGATTGATGGCATTTTCAACCATACCATTATTTAGTAAAATTGATAATTATGTGGCTATGTTTAGTTTGTTACCAAATATTGGTAATGCATATAGAATTTTGGCAACATTATTAAGCCAATCCTACAAAAAATTTGGCAATGTTGCCAATTCGCCAAAATTTGGTAAGGTTCATTTTAGCATCAATCCGAATAGCCACTTCATATCTACACCATTAGCAGTTTAAAAGCCAATAGCCAATGCTAAAAGTGCACTATGATAAAAAGAACCAAAATCAAATCAAAAATTAACTTTTGAAATCTAAATTTTGGCTAATGAGACATGGAAGCACCAATAGATATTGAAAGAAAAACTATTGATCGGTATTATTGCTGTAGTTATTTGTTCCTTTCGTCGATGAAAGTACAACCACCCATTTTCCACACTTTTTCATATTGACTTAAGTCAGCGAATTACTCGCGGCGAGGAGGAGTTTAGCTTTGAGAGTTGGAAAGGAAATAGGGCGGTGGGTAAGGCCTATTTCAAAATTTTATTGGTGGGTGGTACTATATGTGTGACTGAGGTCCATCAAAACTGTAGGTGCATTCGTCTAAAGGGTAGACCCTTGAATTCACTTTGCCTGCTTTCGGCAATTGCATTCAACTTTACCTGTCTGTGGGGCTTTGACTATGGTGACTCCTCCTTTGACTCTAACATCCGCTGGGTACTTTACTTTACTTTGCAGGGGAAGATCATATAGATATCAACTCATCGACGAAGTCCTAGGGGCTCCCTGGCCGGGGAGGTAAAGGGGATTGCTATCATACATGATAAGCTAAAATCGATTATGTTTTGCTTATCATATGATATGATATGAGAGGCTAATATTGATTATGTTTTGCTAAGCATGTCTAAAGTTAGAGTTGTTGTTGTAATGTACATGCATCTGGTCATTTTTATTTGATGCAACTAAACTTAACTACTCAACTCTTTTGACGTAAGGTAAAGAATACCAGGAGGAAGTATTTTTGAAACACTATCTTTCAAAGCACAATGTTGTTGCCCCTCCCTTGGAACATTTTGAATTTAAAGATGTGTGCAAGCTGAAAACTAGGTGGATAGGAAAATGATATTATCACAACAAATCAAAATAATTGCCTGGGTAGGTTAGTCACCTGAATAACTTGAAGGGTGTCAACGTTTAGCTACACATTGTCCATGTTGTTCTACGGGTACCAATTGGTTAGTAAAAAAAACTTTAAATAAATGACTCTAAGATGAATAAATAAATAACGTGAACTTGCAACCAATTATCAAAAGTGGGAGTTGGGCTAGTAATCAATACTTTCACTACACGTACTTTTTACAAGCATAAACAAAAAGCGCAAAAATAAGATATATCCAAATTTCTAACCTTCGATCCGCAACGAAGTTTTATTCTAAAAAAGCGCGGGGACTTCAACAATGATCCTAGCTACTTCAAGGCGAGCATCTTCTCTCAAGCACCATGGTTTGTATTTAGGTTTAGATCTAGAGTCACTCTATCTCGATACTATTAGAAGACCTCACTTTTTTGGGAGGAAGGGTGGTTGGTGGAGGACCGGCGATGAGTGGCGGTGCTTTGCCCATAGAGTCGAGGGATGGAAGCAAGGGCAACACGAGCAAGAGATCTAGAAGGAGGCAGGAAACAACAACGGATCTAGTAGTGGCAACCATCATATACAAGGAAGGAGAGCAAGACAAGCTCTAGGCGGCGGGTTCGGGACAAGGAAGGGAATAGCTAGGGTTTGGAAGGGAAGTGATTATATATGAGTTATATGCGGCACAAGATCCATTAGAGCCTTATTTGGTGGGCCTCAATCCCAGCCCATTCACACCGCGGACTAAAAATTTTAGCATCCAAGTAGCCCAAATGAGATATCATAATATTTATTTTGTAAAGCTAGCATTTAAAAGATGGGTACACAAGCCCGATTAAAAAAATTAGTCTACTATAATGTTGGGGAATTGGAAGGTTCAATAAGAAAAAGAAAACTTAAACAAAGAATACTCTATTGGAAGGATCAACATCCAAATAAAATGAAATGAATCATTGAGTTTGCTTGAAGTGCTTCTAAGAGAAAACATGGATATTAGTCGCCATATAAAGGTGTACTGTGATCCTTCACAAACACATAACTATTACAAGAAAAGCCCCATTGGCCTCTGCCTTATCATAGTTGGTCTAGGTCAGGGTCAATCCTTGCGCACATGACTTTCCCAACAAAGCTAGAACATTGACAACCAATCATCAATTTTTTTACTCACTAACATGTAAAAATAGAATATAACACATTGATAATGTTGCTAAAAGCAATCAACAATTAAGTATGAGGATACATGTTAATCCACATAATCTCAACCTTAGATGGAAGAGCAAGAGAAGAAGATAGAGGAACGGGGAGGGGTGTGTGGGGAAGGAGGTACTTCATCTATCGTCGGGTGGTAGCAAAAAAAAAGTGAGACCCTACATCCCACTTTGTTGACATGCCAATGGCAACCTACGAGGATTGTTGGATCCATGCTACTGCCAATGTTGAAATATCACAAAACTATGGTGGTTTCGGGAAAGTTGGACTATAAAAAATCCTATACATAGCTAATTTAATAACGTGTTATTGCACTCGATATCTTCGACTAATTTGCTATACATATGACGTGGATATTTTTTGATCTGACTACCGGTGCTACTAGTATTGCTCTAAACCCGCTTCACGCAGCCTTTGAATTAAAAGAGTGTACAGAACTTGGGTTATGCCAATAACATGTTTTTTTAACACGCAGGAGATCTGCGTATCATTCCACTAAGACATAGAAGAAAATGTATATGGTGTTAGAGAAAGACTCGACACTCGCCCACTAAGGATACAACAGAACACCACACAACCAATGGAAAAAAAATAAACTATTGCATTAGCAGCACAGTCATAGTAAAGATACCACGGAGCCTAGCAGCTCTTACTAGACACCGAAGAGCGTCCTCGTTAGCGATGGTGGCTCAATGTACATTGGCCAAGCATGAGGTACGTCGATAACATATTTTAAAACTACTGTAATAAGTATTGGACTCTATGTTATATGAACATGGTTAATGATGGAAAAATTTCCTATACTATTTTTACTAGTAATATGCCCGTGCTAAATGCTACGGTGCAATTCGATTTGTCTTTAATAATTGTTAAAATTTCATGTTAGCGGAAATTTTTTTGTATGATATGTGCATTTGAACTTTAATTCAATTCATGTCGTACATTAAATATATTTATTTAACGTAAAATATAATAATATGATACTGCATGGGCACAATAAATCTTTACAAGAATTAAGTATATATAATCACTTCAGTATATAGTACGCTATTATGTTAAAAAAGTGAGTTATTTCATTATTTGTTGCGGGAACAAAATAAAGCATTATTTGCGATCTGGAGGAGGTGCAGGAGAGAGGCTGCAGTGGTTGGCGATTTGACGGAGGGGAAAGGAAACCGATCGGTGACCGCGTGTGCGATTATTTGTGATCCCTAATACATTGCAGGGGAAATCTGTTCTGTGCTGCCTACTCAAAGGCAGAATTTTCTAAGCCAATCTCATTGTCATCCAAAGTACTACTGCCAATGAACTGACAAAAGAATTGACAAAAGAATTGATGAACCAAAGCAGTGACATACTTCTAGACAAACAACTTGGGCAAACTGAGAGAGCTCCCATGGTTATAGCATATGGAAACTGATCCTACAATAAAGAAAATAATTTACACTATAATATAAGAAACCAACTTTTCTGCTACTTGAAGTTTAGAAACTGAACTTGAGGTGATGTGTTTAGAAACTGAACTTGAAACCACGGTTCTTGTTTGATCCACCTGAACATCTCACGGTTATCCATAAGTACAAGGCAAATATGAGTAGATGGCTAATTCGCTATGGAGCAAAATAATACTGGAAGACTGGAGGTTACCTTCTGTTGTTTGTATGTAATGAAATATGTGACACAGAAGACCTCAAGAAAAGTTTCTATGTACGGATAAGGGCTATGGCTTATAAACATGTTCATGTTTTTTTTCCGGTTTGTAAATTGGTATTCTAACCTGGACCAGGAACCTACCATGAGTTTTAATATTAACATAATTGTTTTGCATTGGAATAATGAATGTTATGCAAACATTATGCAGTCTCCTGAAATGAATCATCCGATAATACCAAAGTAAATGAAGCAGCACCGCATTTATAGAGAAAAAAAATGTTTTCCCTAAGTAGTCCTACACTTCCAGTTGTAAGAAGGATTCAAACTTCAGAAAAATCACCCTTCCATTTGTATTCATGCTTTAAAATTGTAAAATTTTATCTTATATTCTTTTCTTTTTACCAATGCTTTCATACACTTCGGGGATAGACGGCGGAGATGAGACGAACATGGGTAGATGCATGGCAACCTACGGAGTGGCGGCAGTTAGGGTTGGGAGATGCCGCCGTGATGTGGTGGTGGCGGTGCGTGTGGCAGCGCCGGTTGGTAGTGGCCACGGAGGAGATCGGCGTGGTGTCACTGGTGTTGTCCTCGATGGTCGGTGGCGGCACGGAGATGTCGAGGGTAGGCTTCAGCGGCGCCGGTGTGGTCCCCCGAGGTGGATGTTGCCGGATGTTGTATCAATAATCCCTAATCCTATACAGCAAAATAAGAAAATCAGGAGGAAGATTACGGTGGTGCAATGTTTCATGAAGCTTATTGCACTTTGCTTAAAAATGAACCATCTTGGTACAGAATTAGTCAAAAGCTTACTGAAGTCATAAGTTCACCTTGACCAAATCTGTCAAGAATCCAGAAACAGTTGGATTGTCCTAACATATGCATGGAGATGGTGATTTCATTAATCAAGGAATGAATCTCTACTATACTGATAATTGATATAGATGGTGCATCATCTTAAATATTCTGTCACTGCCAGTGAAAATCGAATTTTAAGGTTTGATTTCTGAAATGTGTAAAATCTTAAATAACCAGATACTATATATTGTTCTTTGGAGATGTTTAGACATGTGCAGACAGTTATGCGTTGTTCATAGACATGGATACTTTAGTTATCATTATCTAAAAACATGAATTCTTTAGATACCAAAGCGATGCTTTCGGTTTTTTTCTTTTGATTGATTCTGGATTATATTAAGAACCGTATGATCAAATCAGCGGCGACTGATGGGGAGAGAGGAAATATATATAATACTGCATTGTGGATTAAAAAAAAGGGGAGGAAGGATGATTACTGTACCTTAATTTCGGCGAATCAGATCGAGGATGTGGTGACACTGTTCTGAAAGCAGAGATCGGTGGTTGCACGGAGACGGTCGACGAGCCGGAGATTGGGGGCGGCACGGAGGAGACCGGCGAGGCGGAGTTCCTGGTGGAGATCGGGGGCGGTGCGGAGGAGACCGGCGAGAAGGGCGATGAATGGCGGAGTGGCGAGTGGAGGAGACAACTGGCGGGGTGGGAGGGCGGGTACGGTGTGCGGCGCGCGACGGCGGAGTGGGCGATGCGGTCTGGACGGCGGGTGGGGGCGCGAGCGCCGGGAGATGACGGGGGCGGCGACGTGCATAGGCGCGATGGGCGAGAGAACTGGCGGAGGAGATGGATTTCGCGATCAGAAGGAAAGTGCGACTATTTCCGAGGCGCAGGGGTGTGGGAAGGCGGATGCTATTCTAGACGTCAGATCTCTTAGGGATAATCTGAACCGTTAAGTGATAAATAAAAGAATAAGTGAAAGTATTTCTTGAACTATACCCTAATAACTTACTAATAGCACAATCTCACAATGATTCCTTTTAAAAAAATGCGATAAGAAAAGGACACCCCTCCGCACCTCGTCGTTCTCCATCCCCAACCCCGAGTGCAGACGAAACCAGCCTGACCGATTTCCCAAAAAAAAAAAACAAAAAGGAAATCAGCCTGAACGCCGGCGGCGCTCCCGCCGCGCTCGAGCTCTGCTCCTCCGATGGTGACCAGATGGAGCGAGAAGGGCCCCGGCCTCAAGATCCTGTGGATCTGGACCCTGGGAACCGCTGGAAGTAAGCAATCCCGCCATATTCCTCAACTCTCGTCTCTCCAATCGCACATAGTACCACAGACTGCACTCTGATCTGATGAATTTTCGTCCGCAGTTATGATTACCAATGTCGTCCGGACGCGCGTCAATGATATGCAGAAGATCCTCCAGGAGGAAGACGAAGCAGCAGCAGCCGCCGCCCCCATGGCCTCCGGCGAGCGTGTCCTGAAAGACGATGAGTAGAACAGGTATTTTTCTCCCCCATTGGTCGATTGAACTGTGTTGTGTATCATTCCTGCACCGTTAAGTTCAGTATTCAAGAATCATGTTATAGGATTTGCTTTTCTCGTGCGGTGATTGTGAAGCTCAACTGTGAATCTGGGTTCATTCGGCTCCTAATTCGCAGCTGAAACCGAAAAAATACTGACATAATTGATTTTAAGAAGTTTTGCTTATGCTAATACGGGAAGAGTTCTGTCAGGTCAGAGCTCCGATTCTGGACAATTACATAAACCCTGATTCCTATATGGTAAAATAATGGCATTCATTTTGGTAGGCACTATCTAGTTCTGTTTCAGCAGTATACTGCTATAAAGTCTAAACAGAATGAGGCATTATCCAGTTTTGTTTCAGCTGTTGTACTGGACTACTGGTAAAACTGCAATGTGGACCGATGAAATTTCTACATATTTCTCTCCCTCTATGGCTGAATCTTCATTGACTTTTTTGTGAAACACCAACCATTGGTCACATATTATGGCTTGTCGTTGGGAATTACCAGGGGCGTAGCCAGCTAGGTGGCACCGTGGTCCACGGACCACCTAAAAAATTAAAATTATAGTATATGTGCTAGTTAATATAATAAAAATTGTATAGTGGACCACCCTTTTAATTGACATATTATATATAGATGGACCACTTTTACTTTAAATCCTAGCTACGCCACTGGGAATTACACCAGGGCAATCTATCTCCAGAGCATTTATCCATGCTGCTCCATTTCATTAGGCTGTATAAATGGCCTTTCAAAGTGCACTCTGGAATCACCTCAAACATGAAGAGCCCTTTTTTCTACTCTTGAAGCCTGAGCACCAATTTAACGAGGATATTTTTTCTGCTGCGGACAACTGTTGATAGTAGATAGGGAGTGGGGTTTAATTGGATGGTTGTAAGCATGGGCGTGCCTCCAAAATCATGGCTAAATTATCTTACATCACCATGTAAATTTAAGAAAAAAAATAAACAACTCACTAGTTAAGCACTATTTTAGCCCTACTCTTCAATAATTTCTAGCTCCGCCACTAGTTGTAAGTAATACCTTTTTTTGTTAAGATTGCGTGAAGAGTAGCATGTGAAATTGTGAATGGGCAAACATTTTGAGAGCTTTCAGAGTGTTTATGTTTATGCTGTCTGGTCCACTGATCCTCTTCGTTTTATTCTTTATCTACTCCCACGTAGACATGTAGTTCATCCAACTCCCATCCCCTGCCCACCAGGTGCTAACTCGATTGGTGCATTTTCAAGTTATTAGTTATACAACATGTAACTGGTAAGTCTGCTACATATAGTGTAGGTAATTCTGGCAACAATCACTTTGTTGTTGCAAAACAATGTACACTACCTGCTTTAACATGACAGTTATCAGAGTGTTTTACTTTGAAACTGCACATATGGCAAGGGCAGCCAACATGCTGCTCAACAGTCCACGTTCGATTCTCCCCGAACGTGCTCACCTTTTTTCTTTCATTGACACTAAGCTCCTCCTTAGTGCCCATGTTTTTTTAATGTGTTTTACTTTTATACAGCCGCAGATGTCATAGGCCCATCTTTTCGATTTTTTTTTGTTTGGGTCTGTGTGTGTATAACTTTGATTCATACAGCCAAAAAGTGTTACTTGCTGTAAGTTGTAGCTTGCATCAGCTTAGGTTTGAGCTGTGTAAGGCAAATATATTTTACCTTTATGATAAGTATGTTGTCAGGTGTACCTTTTGTCTAGTGTCACTTTGGCCAGATAAGACTTAAAAGAGATTTTGGGGCTTCAAAACTTGGGGTTGATCTAGTGGAATTATTTTATCTTTTAAATCTTTTTAATTTTTAATTTTAAAATAAATCCTTTCAAAAATTATTTCCAGAATCTGAACCTTTTAGCCAAACCAGCCGCCTGGCGTGGCAGTTATTTGGCCACGCCGGTCTAGCTAGGCAACGTTATTTGGTTACACTGGCTGCAGGTGGTGTGTCAGTGATGTTTTTCTACACCAAGCGTGCTGGCGTGACCAAAAGATTTAGATTCTGGAAATAAGTTTTGAAAGGGTTCATTTTTAAAATTAAAAAGTTCAAAAAATAAAATTAAGAAATTGATCTAGTGTTAGTTTCTGGATGGAATAGTATATTAGTATGGGCAGTAAATTTTTGTGCATCTTCAGCAGCTTAACTGAAACTCTTTTTTTTTCTCTTCTTATTTTGCAGAACGTCTCTACTTATCAAAATTCCCTGAACCCCGCTGTTGTGCCAAGCTGAGTTAGGTATTGTTTATCTGGTTCGTCTTAGTGGATTTTACTGGTAAAACAGCTACTTGCTTGAGCGGAAGTATGGAATTACTTGATTCAAAATACTGGGTCGTCTACCATCTCATTTAGAACTTTTTAGATCTTCATACAGTGAATTTTCTGTTGGCTAGAAAGAAGGTGATCGAACATCTTCAGGCATAGCTATAACTGAGAATCCTGAGGGTGCAGCAATGAGAACATGCAGTGTTCCTCAAACATCCAGCTGGTAAAATAACCTACTGCTGCTTCTGTGTCGATTACTCCCTCCGTCCCATAAAAAATCAACCTCGTACCGGATGTGACACATCCTAGGACTACGAATCTGGACATATCTCTATCCAGATTCATTATACTAGAATATGTCACATCCGGTACTAGATTTGTTTTTTTTGGGACGGAGGGAGTACTTCTTTGCAATATCCTAGGAGTGGTACCCCTCCGTTCAAAAAAAAAAAGACAAACCTTGGGTTTTCGTGTCCAACGGTTGACTGTCTGTCTTATATGAATTTTTTTTATAACTAATATTTTTATTGTTGTTAGATGATAAAACATGATTAATACTTTATGCGTGACTTGTCTTTTTAATTTTTTTAATATTTTTTTTCAAATAAGATGTATGGTCAAACGTTGTATACGGAAACTCGGGATTTGTCTTTTTTTTTTTTTTGGGACGGAGGGAGTAACTGGCAAGTATAGGCGGCAATGGCAGCTATATGACATATCGACAGGTCGAGCATTCAGACACTCCTAGGAACACGATGAAATGAGAAATACTACAGTACTAGTTTTGAAGAGAATTTGGGAGAGGCTATCGCGTTGCAAGAAGGGCATGCGTGTCCTGTGATTGCCGTGTACATGAACTAGTAGCTTCGAAGCCTTCGATCAGCATCTTTTCCTAGCTCGCTCGTTCGCGCTGGCAGCGTGCCGCTGCAGCATTGCCTCTTGGCTCTTTGAGCGGTCGAAGCGATGGGCATGCGGGATGTAGGATGGGCCGCTTCGTGGTTCTGACAGGGACGCGCAACGGCGGGCAAATCCGGCGTGCGAATGGCAGGGATACGCGCGGACCGACGTTCGCCACCTTTACCCGCGACCAAACGTTAGTTCAAGCCTTTTTTTTTCCTCTCGATTTCAAAAGGCCAGTTCATTTTTCTAAGGGAAATTTTAAAAACCACCCCATAAATCACTTGAAATTTGGTATTATACCTCATAGGTCATTTTGTTGTAAATACTAATCCCCTATTTAATTTTACTGCAAAACCCATCCCAGCCAAGACGTCGTTTTACGGAATCAACATGTTTCATAAATTATGAGCTATTGATGTGGTCTTTACCAAAATTAAGTATTTCTAGAGTATAGTCTGGACACCTTTTTTTTTTTGGAAAAATCCACGGATAGAAATGGTCGTACTGAGTTTCGCTATATCCGTAAAAAAGAGTTCAACACAAACACTAGTTTAGCATATGGTAGCTCTACATCAATGATAACAGACTGATTTCGTTAAGCATGTGTATACTGAGCTTTTTTACAATAAACTAGTTAGGAGATGATCATTTGCAACAAAGTAACTTTTCGGTTAGGTTTTACAGTTTTTCTAAATGAAACGTGATTTGGACTTTCGACTTATTTTGATTGCGGCACCACCATCCACCGAAAAGCATCCGTCGCACGACTTGTGGCAGGCTGCCATTTAAATAGGATTCGATTCGCAACTCGTGAAGTTGAGTAATACTCCCTCCTTCCCTAAATGATTGACGCCGTTGACTTTTTTAAATATGTTTGACCGTTCGTCTTATTCAAAAACTTTTGTAAAATGTGTAAAACTATATGTATACATAAAAGTATATTTAACAATAAATCAAATGAGAGGAAAAGAATTAACAATTATTTAAATTTTTTAAATAAGACGAACGATCAAATATTTTTAAAAAAGTCAACGACGTCAAACATTTTGGGATGGAGGTAGTACTTAATATGTCACATAAAAAACGAGTATAGGATAGGAGGTGACACACTAGTACTACGGTTTTTTTTATGGGACGGAGTCAGGAGGAATATATCGAGTGCTACGGTACAGGAGCATACTTCCATGCTCCCAAACGTATCCTGTGCGTTGGGTTTTAAATCAAGGGCTCAAAGTGAGTAGGTAGTCGATACTCTCTCGTCAATGGAGATGGGCAGCCTCAGCCGCCGGACGCCGCCGCCCGAGATAAACCGACCAAAATAGGAGTAGAAGAAGAACAGCAAAAAAGGAAAAAAAATGTTGCAGGTGGAGGAGGCGCTGGCGGCCGTGCTGTCCGCGGCGGCGGCGAGCGCGGCGGCGCGCGCCGCCGAGGCCGTGCCGCTGCACGACGCGCTCGGGCTCGTCCTCGCGGAGGACGTCCGCGCGCCCGACCCCCTCCCTCCCTTCCGCGCCTCCATCAAGGTCAACACCTTCCTCCCCCTCTCTTCTGCTCCCCCTCCTTGCCGCCGCGCCTGAGGGTGCTTGGGTTGAAACCCTCTGCAGGATGGGTACGCCGTCGTGGCCTCCGACGGGCCCGGGGAGTACCCGGTGATTACGGAGTCGAGGGCCGGCGACGACGCCCTCGGCGTGGTCGTCACCCCCGGCACGGTGGCGTATGTCACGACCGGAGGTGAGGTGGCTCGCTCTGTTCCTTCCGATGATGCGGCGGTGATCGGTTACTGACCGTGGTTTCTCGGGCAGGGCCGATTCCGGATGGTGCTGACGCCGTCGTGCAAGTGGAGGACACGGAGCAGCTCGCCGGCGCGCCGGATGGGTCGAAGAGGGTTAGGATATTGGTGCGGCCAACTCAGGGGCAGGATATACGCAATGTGGTATTGCTAATAGGTTTCGTTGCTTTGCTTAATGCTTATCCTTACTTGCTTTATTCCCTCCTACTTGCGTTTGTGCGACGATTTGATTGAAACAAAAAAGCTACTATCCATGCTCTGCTCTTCTGCTATGTCAATTGCATCTTAATTCAGTTTAAATTGTTGATGTATTTGAGTGGATTTACTTGTTTATGTCCTTCAGTGGAAGCAACATTCTTGTTTGTTATTATTGCGCTATTAGCTGTGTACTGTAGTTCTCAATTACTATGTACTTCTATAGTTCATGCAGAGCATTTGGTACAGTATTACTTCATCTGGTAACTGATGAGTTAGTTATTTGAATAAATAATCCATAGGGATGTGACATACAAAAGGATTCGGTAGTGCTGAAGTCTAGTGAGCACATAGGTCCTGCAGAAATTGGGTTACTTGCAACCGTGGGAGTGACTACTGTCAAGGTGAATAAGTCTTTCAGTTACCCTGTCACTGAGTGCAGAAGAGAATCTCGCACAACTGATCATTTTGAGTATGAATCTGCAGGTATATCGTCGACCAACCATTGCTGTATTTTCTACAGGGGATGAATTAGTGGAGCCAGCCACAGCATCTCTCAGTCGTGGTCAGGTTATTCCCACTATTTCACAATGTTTGCATCCCTCACCTTTATCTGCATTTCATATTCACCGAAATGTGTACTTGCTTTGCAGATTCGTGATTCCAACCGGGCTATGTTAATTGCTGCTGCTATTCAGCACAAGTGCAAGGTAGTTGACTTGGGTATTGCAAAAGACACTGAGGAAAGTCTTAAGGAGCATATGGATGCAGCTCTAAGTTCTGATGCTGATATCATTCTTACTTCTGGTGGTGTTTCCATGGGCGATAGGGATCTTGTCAAACCTTGTTTGGCAAGCATGGGGAAAATTCACTTTGAAAAGGTATCTTGGAAATTCCTCCAAAATTAGGCGTGCACCATGCAGTTGTATGGAAGTACAAACCAGGAGTTATGATATGCTTTTCTTGTTTCCAGCTGGATAACCAATTAAAACAGTTATTGATGGAAAATTCTTTTAGTCTTTGGCACTAATATATTTGTACAATTCCAGTAATTCTAACAGTTTGCTGTGTTTGCATGTACAGATTCGGATGAAACCAGGGAAACCATTAACATTTGCTGAGATCGTAACAGAAGATTCATCAAAACCATCTAAAAAGGTTCTTGCATTTGGGTTGCCTGGAAACCCAGTGAGTTGTGTTGTTTGCTTCAATCTCTTTGTTGTTCCTGCAATACGTTCACTCTCTGGCTGGTCAAATCCTCATCTACCAAGGTAGTTATTGTCATGCATAAGTGGTTAGCATTGTTATTAAGTTCTTTATTCCCATTATATATCATTGAGCATATTGTCTTCACTGACATGACTTTCTACAGAGTGCACGCACGTCTACTGCATCCTTTAAGAGGAGACCCACATCGTCAAGAGTTCCATCGTGCAGTGATCAGATGGGTGCCTGATGATGGATCTGGTAGACCTGGGTAAGAGCTATATTTTAATATGATGCCTTATATTTGGCAATACTGTAGGTGATACCGGCTGATGAAATTGGTCTTGGCAGATATGTTGCTGAAAGCACGGGCCAACAAGCTAGTAGCCGCCTCCTAAGTATGAAATCTGCGAATGCTTTACTGGAAGTACCATTAGTGGGGCAGATGTTGGAGGCTGGAACATCTATGCAAGCTATACTTATTTCTGATATGACCAGTTCACCTTTTGACAAGCTACCCACTGCTTCAAATCCGTTGCCATCTCATTTATTTCCTTCTGCAAAAAGTGTTTCCACAGATTTGTCTCAGGTTCCAGCCTCACAGAATACTGAAGTTAAAGTAGCAATTCTGACAGTGAGCGACACTGTTTCATTGGGTGCAGGCCCTGACAGGAGGTATTTCATTAAGCGCCTTTTTCCTCGTGATTGTTGCTGAAAAGCTGCTGTACTTTTGCTTGTGATTGGGTTCCAGATTGAATCAGAAAAGATAATGAACCAATATAAAGTCTTACCTTTTGAAGTGCACGCATCCTGATACACCTCTTTGTGTTGAGTTGCAAAGGGGTCACACCATGATGCAAAACTAAAGAGTCGAATTACTGTTTTTTCTTCACATAAGATGGTGATGCATCTCAGTAAGGGCTCCACATTTCACAAGGCTGTTATTTTTTCCATCGGAACAGTGGATCAACCAAAAGCTTTAATTCCTTATGCTGTCAGCTTAGCATTTTTATAAAACACATGTGACTACTTTTTCATGAATACTTAAATCACTGTTGTTTCTTCTCTGTAATACAATATCATCTGTAGTGGGCCAAGGGCAATATCTGTAGTGAATTCTTCATCAGAGAAATTGGGTGGAGCGACTGTTGTTGCTACTGCTGTTGTTCCAGACGATGTGGAAAAAATCAAGAACATTTTGGTGAAGTGGAGTGACATTGATCGTGTCAGCCTCATCTTGACACTAGGTGAAAATGTTTTCATTCTTTAAGTTAGCAAATTGCACAATCCTTATTTTTACAGTGAGATGAGCATCAACTTACTTTTTATAATGGATATGCAGGTGGTACTGGTTTCACACCTAGAGATGTCACACCAGAGGCAACAAAATCTGTCATAGAGAAAGAAGCACCTGGCCTCACATATGTCATGCTTCAGGAAAGTTTGAAGGTGATGACTGACATTTTTCTATATCCCCTTGTTCTTTGGTTTAACATGGAAATCCATTATCATCAACTTTTTCTAGAGATAAGAGATAACAACTAACCATGCATATGACACTAGGGCTAAACTTTAGTGGCATTTCATTTCAATAGATTTTAGTACCCTAACTTTCCTTTAATCTGAGCTATTGAACTTATCTGTGGTACAGGTGACACCATTCGCAATGCTATCTAGAGCCACTGCGGGGATCAGAGGATCAACACTTGTACACACCATAGCTCAAACTTGGCAATTTCTCACCTCACTCTGAAACGTTCACATGTTTATCAAACCTGTTGATATATCTTTTCAGATCATCAACATGCCCGGGAACCCGAACGCCGTTGCGGAGTGCATGGAGGCGCTTCTTCCAGCACTGAAACACGCCCTGAAGCAGATAAAGGGTGATAAGAGGGAGAAGCACCCGCGCCATGTCCCTCACGCTGAAGCTGCGCCTGTGGACCAGTGGGATCGGAGTTTCCGAGCCGCGTCGTCCGGCAGGGGATGCTCGTGCGAGCCATGATCGGGGCCGATGAGAATTTGGTCCTCGCGGGCTATCGGCGTTCACTTCGTCAGCTTGTCAGTTCCTTCGTTAGCCCAGCCGCGTTCAGCTCGGAGCTAAGCAGTGACGATTTTGGTTCTGCTCACTGTTTTGTTTTCACTTCACCCGAACCTTACGAACACCAGTGTGACAAATAAAGTGGTTACAGTATATTTGATCTTGTAACTTCGGCCCGTTTAGTTACCAAAAACTTTTTGCAAAAGCATTACATTGAATTTTTGAACACAAGCATTAAATATAGATAAAAAGAAAAATTAATTGCAGATAAAAAGAAAAATTAATTGCACAGTTAGCATATAAATCGCGAGACGAATCTTTTGAGTCTAATTAGTCCATGACTAGCTATAAGTGCTATAGTAACCCAAATGTGTTAATGATAGCTTAATTAGGCTTAAAAGATTCGTCTCGCGGTTTCAAGGTGAGTTATGAAATTAGTTTTTTCATTCGTGTCTGAAAACCTTTACGATATCAGGTCAAACGTCCGATATAACATATTTTCATTTCACCAACTAAACAGGCCCTTCAAACTTTTGTATACACGGCACCTGATTTTACAGCGTCATAGGGTGGGTTCTATTGTGGCGAGTTACTTAAATTTTTTTAGTACAGTTCAGCTGCCTACCACGCTCGAATCATAATGAAGAACAACAATGGAGTAGCGGTAAGCAAGATGGATAGGCGAGCCAAATAGAATAATACGAACAATCTGCGTTTCAAGAAAAAAACATAACAGTAATCTTCAAAACTACAAAAATAATCGCAAGCCAGTACACACCTACTGGGCGTTGGCGTTGCCAATTTTCCACAATCAAGATGGAATACATGAAATCGAAAGGTGGTACATGTCATATTTGCGTGGGTCGCTAGGCCTACAAAATAATTAAGTACATTGCTCTCTGCTAGGCTGCTAGCACAGAAGATTTAATATCCTCTGTATGGGCAAACCTCCAGCTTATCTACACTGGTGATCCGCGGGCATCTTGCTACCGTGGGAATGCGTTGTTCAATGAATCAGTAGAAGATGCAGCGATATGCCACACATCGCCTCACAAGGATGTCGAGGCATCTTGAAATCAAAAGTATCTTCTATCTTCTTTTGACTGGAGTTCTGGATCTGGAACGCTTCTTCCTGAAATGATTAGACACAGATTTAAAGACACCACCAATATAACACAAAGTAACACAGTTACTACACAAGTGGCATAGGGCAGACAGGGTTCCAGATTTATAGGAGTTCACGCATTTGCTTCAGTGTCTAGGATTGGAGGCAGGCCAGCATATCAGCTCTGTCCCAATAAAACCTGAATTGGTGGCCTCTCTGTTTTCAGTGGTTTTTTAACATTAGTAATATTACTAGGGTTGTTTGCTTTGGACGAATGGATGCTGAATTGGGCATCTGCCGATCCTAACTGCGAACTTTGATGTCTAGTTTGGTTTGACTTTGGGCAATGTAGTGGGTTGATACACCAATATTTTTATCACTCAAAGCACAAGCGTAGTACAAAATAAAGTGACAGTTGTTCCACCAAAATCATCGAATGATCCATGAAGAACCAACCTGTCCTATTCCTAAAACCAAGCAGCCCATAAGTGTTATGCATGACAAATATATTCTAGTTCTAGGAAAAATTTTGTACCAAGGGTCTTCAATTTCTCAAGCTGAGATGGAAGTCCATGCAATAACAACTTATGTAAATTTGAATTTAAAACACAAAGGTTTCATGTAAACCCAGAACACATTTTTTAATCGGGTACATGTTCTTAAGACACCTAAAGGTTGACTTCTATTTTCTCAAACTCGTTAATATATTTTTCTGCATCTAATCAAATTCCTATAATCAGCTACAGTAAGATCGACCATATTACTGAAGCTGAGAACTCCTGAAAAATTCATGTGGAAATACCACCTGGAGTAACATAATGATAAAGGAAGAACTGATTAATCTCTTACCTTTCCGCAGATGAATAAGGCGAATGCCTGCGGTGAGAATGCTTGCTATGTGGAGACCGCGAAACTCGTCTAGAGATGAAACATAACTAAATGGGTAAGTGAAAGGATAAGAGATATATGAACCTGATGTTTCTTCACTCAGAAGATACCTGCACACTCATATCAAATTCACAAGGCATAGAATAAAAGCATTCCTATACAAGACTTACCATAGCAGATATGCGAAAGCAGTGTCCTTGAGGCACTGCCTCAAAGAACATGAATCCAGACAGATAGTACAAAATAGTTCAACCAATACATCCCCTCCCCCCCACCCCAACACACACACAAAAACAAAAATCTCTTATCCTCGCATGGGGAGAAAGGATGGAAATCATAGAAAAACCATGGCATGACTAGCCGTATTCATGATTTAAAAAACATCAAATGCTAAGCAATTTGTGGCTTCCAGATAACCAGAACAGAGTAAGTATGTCAGCCACATTATTGATGCCAAACATAAAAACAACTTTTAGGATTAACTAATGATGCCAGCCATAAAACAATACCATCTACAAACATGTTGAAGCTAACTGCTAATTCGCACATTTTTAACAGCATTAATCTACATTATAAATATGCTGTAAACATATAGTTACCTGTTCCTAGATTTTGGGGGTGAGGGGGACATGCTGCTTTTACATGAATGAAGTTTTCTGTAACAGAAAAAAAAAGTAATGGACAAATTACCACGCAGGGATAACAATTAATACAATACACATTATGAGAATTTAAGAATGGCATATACCTCCTTTTCGAATTATCAGAAGGCTCATCACTTGAGACACTCTCTCGATGTGAAGAACTCTCCTTCTTGGTCCGACTTCTCGCACTTGGTGATCTTGACCTTCTACTGCTATGACTACTTGAGCCCTTTGTAGTTTGCCTCGACCTATCCTCCTTTTCATGTTTCCCTTTCTCTCTTCTATCTGCAGAATCCCTGCTTTTCTCTCTTACGTCCTTTTGATAATCTTTTCTCTCTCCTTTTGCATCATCCTGCTTAGAGTTTCCTCTGGAACGGGGTTCCCTTGTATCAGCTCCATGTCTCACACTCCTGTCAGATCCTTTTTCCTCCTTGAAGCTACCCTTTTTATCAATATTTCCATACATGCTAGATTTATCATCATCATTATATCTTTTGGAAGAAGATTCGGATTCTTTTCTTCGAACAGCCTTTGGCTCCTTTACAAAATCTTCCTCATTGCTGCTCTTCCCTAAATGCCCTTGACTGCTCTCCATATTGCTAAAATTTTCAACATTATTGCCTGAAGGTGGAACTTTTCCATTTTGGGAATATCCATGTGCCTTCTCATCCAGGGTAGGAGCCACATCCTTCGGCTGACTTGATATTTTGGCATCTGAAGGAAATTCCCTACTATGTGTGTCATGAACACGTAGCTCTTGTTTAAGTTCTGCACTTGAGTTCCTATGAGACATTTCATCATTAAATTTACGATCTTCGCCTAATGAAGCATTTTGGACCACAGAATTTCTTTCATTATGATTTCCATGCTGTTCACCATCAGTGGCTTTTTCACCTATTGATTATTTACTCGAGTTAATATATTTAAATGGACAAGTAATGCTCTGCAGGTATTTATTTTAAGAACTTACCTTCTCCTGGACGAGCTGCGCCAGCTTTAGTTTCAGACGATAAGTTTGAAACTGGAACCTTATCCTCATTATCACCCTCATCGTCCTCATCATCTGAATCATAACTAGCAAGGCCAAGAAGAGCGCCTTTAGGGGAACTTAACCCAGTACCATCAGAATGATCAGCTGAGCTAACATTAGTTGGCTTAGCAGGGACAACAACTTTAGCTGAGACCTTTGGTTTTGATTCTCCCAGACCAGGCCCCTTCACACTAGAAACTCTAGTGGGCTCATTTGCTACAATGTAGAAGAAATTATCAGAAATGCAGAATGTCTATTTAAATTTACAATTTAGCACATCACTCACGTTCAGCTGATGGATCATCTTCATTCAATACTTTTGTCGCGATCTCATCAAAAAGATCATCAGTAACCTGGAAAGTGACAAGAGGATCAAAAACTAAAGAAATGACAGGACCTTGTCAGACCTAGCAAAGTAACTTCCAGTTCCATGTTAAAAACAAGACCTTTAAGAGAACTTCAGTTAATACACGCTTAATTTCCTGGTTCATTGCTGCCATCCGGGCTGCTTCAATTTCGTCCTGCAAATAATTTTAGTCCAGTAAAATTATTACAAATAAAGGCGGCTATACTAGACTATAAAATAGATAAAAGAAAATAGAAGGGGATAAAACCAGCACATTGTTCAAATACGTTGTCTAATTATCCACCTAAAAAAGAACTAAAGGTAGCTTTCCTTTAAAATGGAGTTGCTGTAAGTGCAAATAGCTTCTCAGTAGCTAGCATATGGCCCCAACATTTCTATATGCTCCAAAAGGCCATGAATCTTTTTTTTTTAACAAATTAGTGAATTATCTTGTGACCAAAATGAAGTCATATAAGTAGTTTTTAGTAATAGAATAGCAAACTGCACCTCATCTTCTTCATCATCATCAGTAGATTTAGCTGAATCTACGCTTCTGCTGTCAGCCTGATCAGAACTTTTAAGTGTTTTTTCAGCATCTTCAGATCCCTTGGAGTGGAACTCTGTTGAGTGTTGCACCGAAGCACTCACTGATGTAGATTTCTTCTTCAAAAGTTCTTCGCGAAGCCAGTTAGGCACTGGAGGCTGGCCATAATAGAGCGCGGGAATCAGTCAAAGTACTTAGGCACATGAGCAGACACACGCAGGAATCTCAAAAATAAGGGTGGAAGAAAAAAGGAAGAGAAGAACAAAACTTACTTTCTTTGATCTTTCTGTGACATTAAAAGGAGTGTTTGCATCCACAGGGAATGCTTCTGTCACATTACCAACTCCAAATGCTGCAGGTGGAATATAGCTTGAACCAGAAACTGCTCCAAAGAGTGGTGCAGCATGAACTGAAGGGTCCATCTGTAAGGTAAAAGTTAATTATCATATCTATGGTGCAGAGGAATCATATGGAGTAATAAAATAATAGAATTGAACCTGTGCTGCTTGTGGTGGTACTGAAGCTTGAGGAAAAAGTACTGTAGTAGATGGAATCCATGATTGCGCTGGTGCTGAATGTGCATCATGATCAGATGCTGCTATTGGAGCTGCTGGAATATTAGAATTGAAATTTGCTGTTCTGTGCACTGCCATATCAGGAGCTTTCCTACTATTAAATTCTAAAGGTTGATCACTGGGATCAACTGCAATCTTGGAAGACTGCCCATCATGCCCAAAATGAGGTTGTTCCAGTGAGGGAGCAATATGCATACTGGAAGGCGCTTGTGGAAATCCGTCTTGCATTGCTGAGGCAGTTGGAGGTAGCTGAGTCTGCGAGCTTGGATATTGAATCATAGCATTCCCAACACCTGTTATTACATTGCATAGTCAGCATTAAGCCTGGATAAAAAATGCAGGTTACCCCATCCAAACACTGAGTTATATACATTGAGCACAGCCAGCCAGTAATTAGCTTTTCTAAAATGTGATTTCCATCTAATTTCCAGGACTGGCAGCAAGAGAAATGAAGATTTTCAGTGCTTCAAAGTAAAAAGGGCTCAACCAAACATTCAATTACATTCATGATATATCAGAGGTAATTATTGAATCCATGATAAAATGGCATAGTCACTGAGAAAGTGATTCTGAGTAGATATCTGCGTATTCCTCCTTTTGAAGGTGGTGAAACCCACCAAGCAATCGCCTCAAATATAGGAAGAGTGGAGCATACACAAACAATAACGCTAGCTCAAATGTTTTTAGAAGGTAACGTGTGTCATATGCTCTTTTTTCTTAAATAAATAGCTCTGTAGACTTGCAAGTCTTTCCATATTTGAATCTGAAGGTATTACCAGGAGGGACCAGCCTTAATATGATTCAGGCTACACAGTAAGTTATATTGCCAAGCAAGCATACCTGGAGTAGAAGGATAATTATAAGATACCTCCTGCTCATAGGCGGATGGAAATGAACCAAAGTTCTTTGCTGGTGGCGCCAATGGACCTCCATCTGCAATATTATCTTCAGCTCCACTCTGGAACTGACATATCCATATATAACATATATTGAGCAATAGTAATAAGATATGGTACCTGGCAGATAGTTTGTTTCCCTGTGCTGTCCTGTCATTTGAAATGGCAACTGGTCATTACTTGACTGAGGGATTGGCGGGCGTAAAGGTTCTGCGGGCAGACCAGCTGGTTGCTGATACTGATCCTGGTAACCGTAATTATGAACTTCTGGCCTATTTGCGGATATGGCATGCTGTTGAATATGATGGTTTTCTGTAACAGATTTAGCAGCAGCCCATGCCTTCGCCTTTGTAGCCCAATCTTCCTCATTTCCATGCCCTTCCAGATGGGGAGAAAAAACAAATTGAAAAGGTCAATCCTGAACCATCATCAGTAACTACATTCTTACTGTAAGGGATTTGTCTGCTCCAAGAAAGCTTAGTACTATCTTATTATCAATTAGTACCATCTTATTATCAAACATATGTAAGAATTCTTTTGAAGCACAGACCATAAATACATCTAATAAGCCTATGCATTTGGTGAATCAGAAAAGGAATTATTTATAAGCAAAAGTTCAGAAAAAAGGGATAATGGGAAACATGTGCATCATACACGCTAGTTCTCATGTAAATTTACTAATACATACTGGGAATGGGCAGAAAATAGCTCCAGATGGCATAGTGGATACTTGTTTGATCACCGCTAGCGATGAGCCGATGACTACTTTAGTAAAAACTTAAAGGCAACTTACACTCCCCAAAATTCTTGAAACGCATGTACATTCAATAAACATTTGTCCCTATGCATAGTGTTATGAGCTTAAACATTGAAAGATGCATGCTGCATCATAATGATCAACCAGTGCTGTGCATCAGTAACAACACAAGTTTCATTAACATCCGGTTGTCAAGCATACTGGACCAATAAAATTAGATCCAAATGAACATAAAGCTTAGATCTAATGACAAACCTGCGTATCCATGACTTTGAGCCCACGAATGATTGGCCCAGCCCTAGGAAATAAGCAATGTCAACTAACAAAACATTATTTGAATTCAACAAAAGAACAGATAAGAAAACAGGGTCATGGGAAACATTATGTCATTTAGATTGGATGTTGAAGCCAACTGAATGTAACCTCACCAAGAGCACCTAACCAAAGCTCATGAAGGAGTGGCATCATATCTAAAGGGAACCAAATTGTTCCAAGGCACTAAGGATTTGCCACAAAGAATATGTACCAAAATGAAGTAAAGAAAATACAACAAGTGCAGGAGGTTTATTGAATGCATTCTAAAAGATGATTTAGACCTTCACCCTAGATGATCTATCCATATGAAAGTCTCCATTGTGAATAAGTGAGAACTGTACAAGGACAACACTATTCACACAATCATCCCTCAGTGACTCATCAGACCAGTTTCACACAGTCACAAAACCACCCTAGAGTTATAGTCACCTCACCCTAATCAAACACCGTATCACACCCTTCCCAGAAACCCTACAGCCAACAGCGATCCTGAACTACAAACCCTAACAGAAAATTTACTATAGTCTCCAACGGCGACTCCAAAACGAAACAGGATAGCCCCCGACATACCTGGCCCGGAGGCGGCGGCGGGTAGCTGGGCGGCGGTGGCTGGGCAGCGGCGTGGTGAGGAGGCCAGGGATTCCCCGCCGCAGGAGGCGGCGGCTGCATCGGCATCGGAGGGAGGGAGGGATGGTACCCATACGGCGGCGGCTGCTGCGGCAGCGGCGGCGGAGGGTGGGGTGGTCCCCACTGGTGGTGCTGGGGAGGGAAAGGGTGGTTGGCGTGGGGAGGGTACGGCGGTGGGGACGGCCCGGGGTACCAGTGCGGGCTCGCGTGGGAGGGAGGTGGAGGCTGCGGCTGCGGCGGCGGCGGCGGCGGGGGGGCGTCGCCGGAGACGGCGAAGCGGCGGTGGTGGGGGTAGGCGTCCATGGAGGCGGAGGGACGGGAGGGGAGGCGGAGGAGAGTCAAGAGAGACACGGACACGCGCAGCGGAGCTCGGCGAGGGGCTTTTACCCGGCTCGGTTTGGTCGGCCTTCTGTCTGAGCTCTGGGCTCCCGTGTCTATGGGCCGCCTGCACGTCCACGTTATCATGTTATGGACCCAGTTTCACACGGAAGGCCCAAGCCAGAACACATAAAGTAACTTATCTTCTTGGGAGTAGCAATATTTATGACATCATATTTTTCACTAGAAAATAGTCAAAATATTTTCACTCCATAATTGCATTCATGTACATTGTAATTACCCTGTATTTATCTTGTAACTTTTATATAGCTACAGTGTAACTACAATATATAACTACAACGTAACTATAATGTACTCCCTCAGTCCCATAAAAAACGAATCAGGACCGGATGTGACATATTCTAGTACGATAAACCTGAACATATGTATGTCTAGATTCGTAGTACTAGGATGTGTCACATTCGGTCCTAGGTTGGTTTTTTGGGATGGGGGGAGTAACTATTGTGTGATTAAATACTTTTTTAAGGACACAGGGGGGGAGGGGGGAGTAACTATTGTGTGATTAGATACTAGTAATTCTCATATTCACCTTCCAATGTTTTCTTTCTCCTCTCCGACTTCTCTGTCCCTGGATGACGTGACATGAGTTTGTTGAGCAATGAAAAATTAAGGAGATAGATTACCTGTCCATATTACTACGATATGTCACATTCAGTACTAGATTGATTCTTTATGAGACGGAAGAAGTAGACAGCAGCCTGGCAGTGACATGTATGAATAAGTTGGACCCGTGTAAAAGAAGCACGAATCTCAACCCACATCACAGAACAAAAAATGGCTGTTTTTGACGGGAAAAATATGTTGACACAATGATTGCGAATCCTTTTTTTTTCTAGCTCTATAAATTGGTCTCTCCAAATAACTCCAACACGTCACTGTCTTTTATAATCTCTCACATACAACTTAATTTGGTAGAGAACACTCTCCATGAAGTTTATTTTCTCTTCTAACCTCCACCTCTATCTAGTTTTCAATAATTTCTCGTTGTACTGATCAACTTCTCACAGCATGTGGGGCTCCGGCGTGGTGAGCAAAGTTGCCCCTATGTCTTTTCTTATTAGGCTTGAGATTTTATACACCACTTCTATAGTAGCATGTGTTTGCCGCCATGGTTTTACCACCGTACCACTATGGAATTAAAGAGTACAAAAGCATAAGGTGAAAGGAGACCGAAATACACACACCTTTTGTGGCAAGGGATAACTTCAATCACCAAATGGAGGCCTATGGAGCGCAAGAAGTTGCTGAAAGCTAATAGAGGTGGGAAGTTGGAAGAAACTAATAAACTTGTAAGGAGTGTTCTCTATCAATTAAGTTGTAGGTGGGAGATTGGAAAGATCAGTTACTTATAGGGGTGTATTTGGGGTGAATAGCTAATTAAGCCCCTCAAGTTTCACCGAAGGCTCAATTTGGTCATTCACGTTTCATTTTGTTCATATAGCTCATCTAAATATTTGTTTTGGCTTGACATCATCCTTGGGCCCACTTAATATGCCATATGGCTATTTTTAAGTCAATATTTCTATTAGAAAATGTCCCTTTTGCCCTTAATTTATATACAACTATATACTAGAAGGGAGAAACCAAGATGAATAAACAACATTGCAGATATACTTCCCATTATTTCAACATGTGCACATAAAACATAAGCAATTACTATCGTATACACTTGCTAGTACTTAATTTATTTTCGTTTTACATAATTTACTATATATTATCAATAAAAAAATCAAGCATACAATTTTTCTCTTATATATGTGAATGATGGGGGTATAAGTGTCATTTATCAAGAGAGTTGTTGGTTCGAGGATATTTGAACTAAAATGAAAACTTGAAGGACTAATATGGATAGATTGAAATATCAAGGACTAAACTGAGCCTTAGATGAAACTTGGAGGACCACTTTGGCTATTCACCCATGTATTTGGATTTCCCCCACTAAAAAAAAATCTTCCAGTCTTCTACTAGTAGAGTAGATAAAAAATAATAATGGAACTGTCAAGCAATTAAACAGAACTATAGGTTCTAAACATCATGAAACTGTATGCATTACAGGAGAACATTGAAGCTTTTCTACCGTCAGTCCAGGATAGGTTCAATGTTTAAAGTTTCACAAATCACAACACACAAACAGGCAATAAATAAGGAGTTTGCACAAAAGCCAGAAGTATCTCCCACGGTCACACTACTCACTAGACTATTTCTACAGGTGAACTGCCAAGTGCACTCTCTAGCTAGCCAACTTGGCACGTTAGGAAGCAGGGAAGCAGATACATCACATGTCTTCACATTGCAGGCAAACTCGGCTGGTTTCCATCTAAGATTAGCAGTGATTCCCCAAGTAGCTTTTGTGCCTCCTCTCTCCTCCTGCGAAACAATAGCAAGAAAGGTATAAATCTCAGGAAAGTGATTCACGTGCTTTGTGCCAATAGGGATCCAAATCAGTGATACATAGGATGAAAACTGGAGTGGTTTTCAATGAGGAATGTAAGTTGCACAATTCGCAAATAATATAAGGGTTGGAGGTCAAAATTGATCTGAGCCTAAAAGTCGGCATTTGTTCTAAAACAGCATGCATGATCATTGAAGTTCAACAGCCATTCTTAGTTAGCAGCCCTATTCAAGGTTTCAAGCTAAAGATACTTACTGCTTTATATCTTCAATTGCTTGTTTCCGACGCTGAATTTGGTTCTCAAGCATGTGAATCAGAGTGGCTCTGGCCTACAAAGTATTTTGAAAAGGGAAATCATTTTGGCGAATATAGAGACAATCATTCATACTGTGGGATAAAAACTGAGTCTCTTACTTGGTGAGGTCGTAAGGAATTAAGAAGGTGGTGCAAGTTCTTGAAAATGAGTGAAATATCCTCTACCCTACGAGCATACTGTGATGGTCTTTCCACTAAAATATCTGCTAGCTCCAAAATATGGAGCTGAAGCTCTCTGTTCAGGGTCCTTAGCTCCTTTTTGAAATCTGCAGATAATCAGTTATTCAAAAAGCCAGCTCGTTAAATCAAAGAATACAAAAGTTGTTTAGTGCTGAAAGTAACAACACAAACCATTTGTTCAGTATGGCCAGAAGTGTAGGAAGCTTACCATAGAAGCCCGAATAATTTTAACAAGTCACAATGTAACTATTGAACTAAATATGCAGTCAGGAGTTGCACATACCGATATCTGGGCTCTTCGGATAAAGCTGACGAACACCTTGATCCTCTAAGCTTGGGAGCACCACATCTGTCTAGAGAGCATATAGGCAAAGGCATAGTCAGTTTAACACATGTAACAACATAATATAAAGAAGAGTACAATAAGCAACATACTGTGTAGGTAGCACCGAAGAGTTGATATGGTCCATCAACTGGCGGTGGAGGTTCAGGTGCAGATGAAGGATCCTTTTCGTAATCCTTGTATAGTCGGTAATATGGAGGAGGTGGAGGATATGCTGATGATGTGGCCATGCCAGGTACGGAACCAACTCAACTTCCAAGCTGTCACATCACAGAATCTGAGAATCACAACTTTTGATGTGGCCTATGTTTCCTTAAGCTCAATAAACTGAATCTAATTTGAAACTATTGTTTACATGTAAAATGGAAACCAAATCATCTTCACGCTAGAAAACCAGTCCCCTTTCATTCAGATTTATACTTTGTTTTAAGAATCTGTGGTCAAATCTTCTGGGTAGGTATTGCAGTTGCAGTTCTTGCAACATAATACAAACATTACATTTAAGAGATTATAATTTGACTCACTGAATCATCAAAAAGCAAAACTAATCAGTTACTCCCATTACTACCAATTTACAGATGCAAATTGCAAACCAAAACAAATGCAAGGACAACTCGCACCGATTTGACTGATTACCACGTGATCACTTACCACGATATAAAACCCAGACAAGTCGACTAGTACAGTCGCACCAATTCAATGTTGAACACGCCCACGAGACCATTACCCACACTTCACAACCCCCACGCCTACCCACAGGACATCAATCCCATAGATGAAAGGACCATAGAGATGATGCCAAGGAAGAAGGAAGCAGAGGGAGTGGAACAGGGGGAAGAAGCGGAGCGGATTTCGCGCCCGACCACCCTGGGCAGCTGCCCAGGGTAAATGGCTCATTCGCTTGCAGCAGTGAATGCATTGCACTGCTCTGCGTGCGTCCGACGGTTGAGCAGCAAACGTTGGCGCAATGGCGCGGGCAGCAGGTGTCTAGCAGAGTAGCAGGGCGTGCAGCAACACAAGTACACAACAGGCACATGGTACATGACTCTATGCTTAGACTATCTTATTTGGGCGCTTGGCTACTTAATTAGCAGGCAGATGCAAAGGCATACCAGCAGGAGCAAAATACTTGGACAAACTGAACTGGATTTTTCACCTGTGCTAACACTTTGCTCAAATTTCATACTGAGAAGTTGATATGAAAGGGACCATGGCGAATCTTGTGTGAACTAGCTCTTTGCAAGCACTTGTTAAGTTGTGTTCATCGGTAGACTTGCCCAGGCTCAGAAAAATTTCTGGCCCCGCCAAGCAAGCGCCTACCGGCCTGATTGAGATGGCTATCGTGTTAAAGATATCGCGGCAATAATACGAACTAAATTTCAACAAACCGGCGAGAGATCTGGGCATTGATTCAACCAATCGAGATGCAAATTGGGGAAATTTAGGGTGCAGAATGAACCAGAGTTAGAGGTGAGAATCTATACCCGGAATGGGAAAAACATGAACAGTTGTTTGGACGAAGCACAGATGGGGATGCCAACCTCGAGGAAGGGCGCGAGAGCCTCCGGCGAGCGGCGGCGGCGGTGGCGGTGGCGGAGACGGAGACGGAGACGAGCGACCGAACCGACCCGAAGCCGAAGGCGAACCAGGGTTGGGTTGGTGGTCATGGGCCAAAAAGCCCAACTCGATCCAGTGAGCTTCATCTGGACCGTCCACTTGAGATCGAACGGTTTACGAGGCTTCAATCCGAGTTCTTTTCCGTTTCCGTCCCTCTATTAAATCCTTTTTTCGAAGAGGCGCACCCCTACCTTCCGCCTCCGCAAGAAAGAAAGAAAAAGAGGGGAAGCAAAGCGCAGAGGCGGCCGTCGCAGCAGCAACACAAGTCAGGGGAGGAGAGAGAGGCCGCGCCGCCGCAGATCTGTGGCCGCGTTAGGGTTTCTTCGCCGGAATCGAGCGAGGAAGTAGGAGGGAGAGGAGGAGGAGGAGGAGGGCGACGAGTAGGAGGCGGCGGCGGCGGAGATGGACGTGGTGAAGGCGGCGCAGCTCTCGGGGCGGACGCTGGAGAAGGTGGTGGTGCACCCGCTGGTGCTGCTCAGCATCGTCGACCACTACAACCGCGTCGCCCGCGACACCCGCAAGCGCGTCGTCGGCGTGCTCCTCGGCACCTCCTCCCGCGGTTCCGTCGATGTCACCAACTCCTACGCCGGTAAACCTTCCCCCAGTACTAGGGTTTGCGTGTCTCGGATCAGCCCCCTTCTGTTTCCAAGGGATCTGCGCTGCTAGTTCGCCTTAGGGTTCGCGCAACTGGTGGCGGTTGTGGGTATAGTTAGATCTATTGGCGTGAATTGCGTTGAACCTGCACAATTAGATCTGTGGAGTTCTATTCCAGTGACGATTTACTGTATTTATAGCATGCTATGGCACTTGGTTTTGCAGTGCCGTTTGAAGAGGATGACAAGGATCCGAGGATCTGGTTCCTCGATCATAATTACCACGAATCGATGTTTTCCATGTTCAAGAGGATCAACGGTATGCAGTTTGCAAGTCTTCCATTTGTTTGACCTGCCCTGTGTAACTGATTGTGTTGTACTGACGAGCTGTTCTTCGTGTAGCCAAGGAGCATGTTGTTGGCTGGTACAGCACCGGTCCAAAACTCAGGGAGAACGACTTGGATATACACGCACTATTCAATAAGTATGTGATGTACCGAAGCTTTATATCCTGTATTGTTCATGAAGTTATATTCTTGACTAGATATGTTGTTTTGGTGCAAGTAATCTTTATTAAATTGTCTGGCACCCAAGTTATAAAGCACTGTAGACTTTTCAGCTTGCTAGTATAACAGAAGGAACTGTTTTATATATAACCTAGATTCAATTGCTGTTTGACTTCCTACTGTTAACATGAGAGCAAGTCGAATGTTGTCTGTGCATAAAACTGTGGCCCTACTGCACTGGACTGTAAGCTCCTCAGAAGTGCATAGCTAGTCCCGCATCATAGATAACACCTTTTATCTTTCCCCCCTTTTTTTCTTTCTTGCTGGAACCTTATCTGCTACCCTGGCCGATGGAAATTTCCTGATCAGTTTTGGTTACGAACATAATGAACTGATATGAACAGCTTGGTGCTAACTAAAGCATCATCCTAACTAAAAGCAGTTTTGTAGTTAATTTGTTCCCTCAAATTAATTTATGTGTTTGGAAAGTCATTCGCACATATTGGTGGCATGGGAGTTTAATAGGTGATGTTAGTATACCTGAAACATTACCTTCTGTATCTTTTTATTAAGTGTGCTTGTAATTTTTGTTAATGAAAGTGGAAGTAGTTTCCCCCCTTCAAAGTATTTTTTTTCCTTTTTGTTTTTGTCCCTGGATGCTTGTGCCATATTTATTTTGGTGCTTACCCTTCATAGTAGCTAACTTAGTTCTTGTGCTTCTCAATTGTAGCTATGTTCCTAACCCTGTCCTGGTGATTATTGATGTTCAACCCAAGGAGTTAGGAATACCCACCAAAGCATACTATGCTGTGGAGGAGGTTAAAGAGGTTAGCATGTGATCTCAAGAAGCTGGAGGTTTATTGTGCTTGTCCATTGTCTTGTTCTGTTTCATTAATGTACATGTTGTCTTTTACAGAATGCTACTCAAAAACAGTCAAAAGGTGTTTGTTCATGTTCCTTCAGCAAATAGCTGCCCACGAGGTTGAGGAAATCGGTATGTCTGTCTCATCTGTTTTTACTAGGAAAAAGGGATGCTTTATGTATTTTGCAAGTTACAGATAATAGTTAGCTTGTTTGAGCGGTAAATATATTAAGTTGTTGATGCTAGTGAGGTTTCTTCACCAAGAGGAAAGAATATTTTTGTGGTGAAGTCTTTTTCCTTCAGAAAGGATTGTTGACTGATGTATGTTCATCCTACTTATAGGAGTTGAGCATCTTCTGAGGGATGTCAAGGACACAACAATAAGCACGCTTGCGACAGAGGTAATATTTCACAAGAATATGCATTTTCAGCCTACAAGTTGCTTTATTATGCCCTAATATATCCTTTATCATTGTTGTCATTAAAGGTAACCAGCAAGCTTGCAGCCTTGAAAGGACTGGACGCAAGGCTCAGGGAGATCCGTGGGTACTTAGATCTTGTAATTGAAGGGAAGCTCCCACTGAATCATGAGATTTTGTACCACTTGCAGGTTCGCCTTCTACTCATTGCTTTCTGTATGGTATTCTTAGGAGTTACATATACCTCCAATTCTCTTGCATTTGCTATATTATTGAGGTCAGCACTTGAAAGCTATCTCATGCTACCGCCGTTTGGTTTTATGGAATATTTGTGCCTTTGAGATATACACCTCCATTATTGTGGTTGTTCGGAATTCAGTATCACTAAATATCACTCCCAAATCAAATAAAAAAAGTGCTTAAAAGTTGCTTACAAAGTGGAATATGCTGCCACTGGTAATTCCCTGTGATGCTACTGGTAGTTTTCACAATACATTGGACGCGAGATATAAGGGATCTTTTGGATGGCCAAATTTGTTTTATGTATGTTTTTTATGATTTGTTGGTTTTTTGTCTAATATTTTTACTCAGCTTGTCACTACCTTAATAAGAAAACTGTGACACAACATGTCTAAAAAAACTAATGAAGGTCATGACAGTTTACTACATGTAACTTGCCAAACAAAATTTAAATATAATTCAAAGTTCTGTTGCTGAAACAATTTTACTGATGCAGTTAATAACCTGTTTATTTTTTAAAAAAATCACAGGATGTGTTTAATCTGCTCCCCAATCTCAATGTAAACGAGCTTATTAAAGCCTTTGCAGGTAATAACACATGTTCTCACCAATTTACTATAATTGAGCTGAACCTGTCGTCTGGGTTTCTTATCTTAAAATGGTTCGATGCTAATGTTCTTTCCTGCAGTTAAAACAAACGATATGATGTTGGTCATATACTTGTCTTCTCTTATCCGGAGTGTCATCGCACTCCATAACTTGATCAATAACAAGGTAAATTGTTTCTGTCTTATCTATTGAATATAGAAGATGCGGGAGTTAGGAGATACTTGTCATTTATTGTAAGACTTCCTTTTATTTGATTCCAGATGCTAAACAAGGAGCATGAGAAAGCCGAGGATTCGAAGCCAACCGCCATACCTAGTGCTGCTGGGAGCTGAATGTGCTTTATTTGCCTTAGATTTTGGACCCAGTGGAAGCCAAAAGAATTGTGACATGTTAGCATGATGGCGTTTGAACCAATTGTCTTTGACCTTGGTTTTACACTTTCGATGTTTATTTCATGTACGATAAGGTCAACGGCAAACTTTACATTCTGTGAGCTTAGGTCATACTACCTCTTGAGCTTTCATCTTGATCTTATATACAATGTTTCATGGGGTGCATCATGTTTTGTGATGCGGATTGTCGTACGATTAACTTCTAGTAAATGTTTACTTGACGCAAAACCATTAGTTTGTTCGGCTTGTGGCAACATTGTAATTGATACCTAACAAGTTGCTAGGACAGGTTTTCTTGGCGAGGCTTATCGTATGTGTTCTCTAGTTGGCGGCTGTCAATGGAGCGCTGATGGGTGCACACAGGTGGTTTTCGCTTCGGCTCGAGTTCAAAAACTACCCTGGTGAACTAATTCAATTCATGACGTCAAACTAAACTGCCCTGGATTATCTTTCATCTATTTTTGCAATTTTCAAATCGTTTTCATAAAAATGGACAACCGTTGAGTACTTGATCAGCGAACGGTTTTGGAACCTTGATGTAGCGGCTGAATTGGAGTTGCAGGTTTTTCCTAATTCCTACTTTGAAACTTACTGAACCTCGTTGTAAATCTACCTCGAAATGAATTGCAGTCGAACGTTTTTCCCAATTCCTACTTTGAAACTGTTACTGTTCTCTGAAAAATAAAAGCACACGGCCAAATTCGTAAAATAAATAATAATAATAATAATAATAATAATAATAATAATAATAATAATAATAATAATAATAATAATAATAATAATAATAATAATAATAATAATAATAATAATAATAATAATAATAATAATAATAATAATAATAATAATAATAATAATAATAATAATAATAATAATAATAATAATAATAATAATAATAATAATAATAATAATAATAATAATAATAATAATAATAATAATAATAATAATAATAATAATAATAATAATAATAATAATAATAATAATAATAATAATAATAATAATAATAATAATAATAATAATAATAATAATAATAATAATAATAATAATAATAATAATAAACCCGTTCCAAACTCCATCGGCACAAGGCACAAGACAAAATTCGTCGAAATCATCCTCCAGATTCCAGAACGGTTTGCGTGGTGTGTGCGTCTGCTGATTACGACTCGGCGAATTCGTAAGCCGTAGCGAATCGAATCGTCGCGGTCGCGGCCATCCTCTCCAACCCATCGCCGAATTCACCATCGCGAGGCGCAAACGCAGCTCGTCCCCCCTATGGCCTTCTCCTCTTTCTCGTGGCCGTTCCGCCGCCGAGGCGGCGGAGGCGGAGGCGGCCCGAGCAAAACCTCCGCCTCCTCCGCCGCCGCCGCCGCCGCCGCCGCGGCCGGGAACGAGGAGGAGGAGCTGGGCGTGACGCCGCAGCTGCTCGACTTCCTCCGGACGCTCTCCCCGGACTCCTTCAAGTCCTCCGCGCTCCAGCTCCAAGGCAACAGCCACACACTCGCCATCTCCATCTCGATTTCATCCTTCCCACTCCGATCCGGGCTCGATCGTGATGTCCGTGCGTGCTTCTCGCAGGGGTGGAAGCTGGCGACCTCACCGGCTGGCAGGAGCGGCACGCCGTGCTCGTGCTCTCCAAAGCCAAGGTACGCTTCCCGGCGGATCTCGGTTCTGTATCGCTCGCTTCTCTCTGTCTGTGATGAGGATGTTGTGGAAGTTTGAGCAAACGCATGCGTGCCCCGACTGCGCAGGAATTGGCCAAGATCCGGTACGATCTGTGCCCGCGCCACATGAAGGATAAGCAGTTCTGGAGGATATACTTTCTGCTCGCTAAGAGTTACACTTCTCCGTAAGCTTCCATTCTGAAATTATTTCGATTATCGTCATGTAAATTTAGTTTCTGAGTATTGATATGCAACACAAGCTAACATCAGAGTAGCATCTCACTTTTTCCTTTCATAATTCAATGAGTTATGCATTACCTTCTAATCCAATTTAATACAGTACATAATTATAAACTATGGACATTACATTACCTTGCACTTAACATTACGCACAACCAATTTATATCTCATCAGATAAGTTACATCAAATGTGAGCCCTTGTACATATTTAAGAAGTTGGGTTTGCTGTACCTGATGAAGTGATGAGTATGCAAAAACATGAGATTGCCCATTAATTGCTATCTTCTTGGTGAAGTAGTGCTTCTGCCAGATATAATTGCCGTTTACATCCTGTGATTTTGTTAATTATCATGGAATGTTGGAAGGTTATTGTTCTCCATTGTACCTCACTAACTTAAGTTACCTAAATGACCTATCCTGAAAAAAAGGAATTATTCATCCTTGTTTGGTCTGAATTATATGTCCTAAGATTTAGAGGTATTGTAGGCATATACTTCAAATAGGTGAAATTATAGGTAAAATGAATTATTCATCCTTGCGAGTGCTGAAGTTACAGGATCCAGGCTAAAATTATAGACAGGCATGTAAACACTAGACCAAATATACAGTTAACTCCTCTGTAGCCTCGTGAGACTTTGCAATCAGCTTTGCTCATTATCTGCTTCCACCTATGCAATCGAGATAGGCTGATATTTGATGTGCAAAGACCTCATAGATTTAGGCTGCTATTTCAAATGTTATCCGCAGAAGTCTATGAATTTCATATTTACATGTTCTCCTAGTCCCTATTACCATAGACAATTTAACAGCATCAACATTTGAAACATATGTTCTGTTTTTTTTTTTATTTGTAGGTATGAGCTACGAGCCATACAAAAGGAGAAGGTAAGAAGGATGGAGACAGAAAATGGGAAGGCAAAAGATGTGACTACTGTTGAGGTCGAGATGCAAGAATCAAAATGCAGTAGGGATTCTCAAACGTTACCAGGTGATGAAGAATCTCAAGATTCATAGTTAGTGTTGTGAACTGAAATTTAGGACATGATGGTAGTATAAAATCCATTTTGTGTGTGAGGAGCTATCTATTCTTTCTTTGGGTCTCATGCTTCCAGTTGAATGTCGGCTTGAAAACTGTATTAGAAGTAACACCTATGCATGGCCTGAATGTGCATGCAGCTTCTTGCTGAATGGCATAACGTGCACCATTGTAAATTTATAGTGCCTGAATGTGCAGTAAACAAATACTGAAGATTGGAATCAAGTACGGTTCTTTTTTTGCAGTATGCGCCATCTGCTACTGGTTCATATAGCGTATAATACTCAGTCTCCACATACTTTTTTAAGATAATGAAAGCTTTTTTGAACTCAGCGAAAAAATTGTGCACACAACTATAGTGCACATAGGCAACACATCCCAACGAACACAACTAAGAGAACATCAAAGAGTAAGCAAGGGCCATCTATCCGTAATCCGTAGCCTAGATTGGCCACGCACTGACATGAAAGTCGATGAATCTGACCATGAGAATTATCCTGCATAATCAGGTTGTAATGTGACAGGAAAATACACTCAAGAACATAAGCAAAGCGCTACTGTAATAGAGAAACGGCTACAAAATTGTATTAGTAAGTGAATGAACTGTCATAGGCGTTGAGCTGCATTACACAACATTGACAACAACAATGCACATGCAAGTAGCTCTGCAGCAAATCACGACCTCACCTTAAAAAGTTCCAAAAAAAAAATCATACACGAGTAGCTACACCGATGGACCCAGAAATTCTGCTCAACGATATTCTCAAGCCATAGCATCAAAATCGTCCAATTCACCATTATACTCCTGGACCTTTCTCTTGATCTTTGAGGAGTCAACCCAGGTGATGAAATCCTCCATGTTCCTGGTTACAAGAAAGGCTGGATCGGTGACTGTCTCTGGGCCTACACGCACATGACCCTGCTGTATGTATGTCACGGCCTCTTTAAGGTGCTCCGCGAACTTGAGCTTCACCATGACTGTTGCAAGCCTCCGCCTGCAATAATTTGCCAATACACGCAATAAGTGATGTACGATATGTCTGATCTCCTACAACTTTAGTCTTGTGTGCTAATCGAGGTTATAGTGTTTGTTAAGTGGTTAGCCATGGTAAGTCTCATTTATGTTGAAGCAGTGGTACAACAACACTTTAACATACAGCTGACCAATGAAACGTGCAATTTAACAATTGTTGAACTGAGATGAGTAAACATTTGCCACTAAATGGTAAAAGATGGCTACACAGCACATATACATGGAGAGAGAGAGAGAGAGAGAGAAAGGACCTGCAAAAGGAGCTCACTGAAAGTTTTTCACATGTTAACAGGCTCTTTTTTGTTGGAATTACACCCATGTTGTACCTGAAATTTCATGAACTTCATCAAACTACACATGAGTAGTACAAAATCTGGAAATGGCTAGACAACTGGAAACAAGAAAAGCATACAAAATTAAGAGTGCACAGTTCTATATGAAGTACCCAAGCATAGGCAATCCATTGCAGAAAGTAACATTAGATTATAAGTTCTGCTTAGCACAAGTCTATCAATCTTTTAGTCCAGTCCAAGCTCAAAATGTTGGGAGTAAAAAAGAAGAGGACTACCGAGGTTCGTATCCAAACATAAGAGCGAGAATTATTCGAAAAATCTTTGGCAGGATTATCGAAACAATTATGTCCCTGGACAAGAAGCAGATGAACTACTGAGAAACTAGTCATGTGTATATACTTTATAGCCTCGATTGCAAATCCAATCAATTTGGTAATTCAAAAATAGACACAGGCACACAGCCCCTCCTCAAACACACGAATTAGTTGACATGCTATAAAATTCTCTGAAACATTATATACAGGAACTGAATTTCCCTGAGCAATCTCGATTCTGACTCTATGACAATTCAGCAAACAGCAAATTTGTGTGCCTAACGTGTTTGATGGGTCATGTGGAATTGTAGATCGTAACTGTCCAGCTCTAAATTTGTATGCAGACCACGCAACAGGCTACTTACAGCTTATCGAGCAACATGTCTGTCATCTCCGCTCTGTAAGGGTCTCTCGGGTCCATTTGCTTTATAATGTTGACGAGCTTTTGCACCATCAGGCATATGCCATTGTACCTGCCACCACCCAAAAACAAAATCACAAATTTGCAGCAAATCCATGTCCATGGACAGGATGAACAGTAAAACGCGAAAGAACACACAGATAATCCTTTAACCAACCGATAAGGTACGAGTTGATACTCTGGAGAGAGAGATGAGTTAGTACTTCTTGTAGTCGTCTCTCTCGACGAGGAGGTAGCGCTGCGTGACGATGGCGTCGCGGTGGCCTTTCTCCCTCTTGAAGTCGAGGAAGTTGGTCTTCTTGAGTAGCTTCTGCTCGTGGAACCTGAGCTTCCTCATCCTTCACGCTGCAAGGCAGGGCCGGCGATTCAGCAAGAACCGACGGAGACGAAGATTACAGGGTGCGGGCGGAAGCAGCAGGTGGACTTACCTGAGCGGAGAAACCGCACCGGCGAGCTTTCGCACGCTCCAGGCGGTGACGGTGGGCGGCGCGGCGAGCACGCGGGAGTCGGGGAGAAGCGAGGCGGCGCGGCTCTAGGGTTGGTTGGGACTTGTGGGAGCTTGTGTGTGTTGTGGCGTGGGCTGAGTGGGCCTTGTGGGCCGTGACGTTGCGTGCCTTGTGGGCCCCGTGTGTGAGCCTGAATTTTTTTTTTCAGTTCTGTTTTGCTAGATTTCTGTTTCTTTTCCTACGTCGGTCTTTTTAGTGGAATCCTATGCCGGTTTTAATGTGGGATTAGCTATACAACTTTCCACAGTTTTTTTCAAACCTTTTAAATATAACTATATCATACTTATTTGCTTTCAATCAAAAGCAGGATGAAAAGTTTTTTTCTTAAAATATTAGCATAATTATCTATATTTTCAAATTTTTTTTGAAATTTTCTTTTTTTTCCCAAAAATTTCAAACCGTACATTATGCAATTCGCAACCTGTGATCACCCCAACTATATCATATTGCTTGTGACAGGTTAGAAGCTCATGGATCAAGGGTGTTTTTTGTATTTTAAAAATCTCTCTCCAATTGGATAAAAATAGTAAAGAGTGAAGTGCACGGACGGTTCTTAAAATTATGCGGGTATGTCATTTAGATTCCTAATCTATCAAAAAAAATGTCATTTAGAAACCGCTATGGCATGTCACGTTAGTACATAGAGTGGGTTGGAACCCGTTTAGAATTATATGACACCCAAAACAAGTTCGGTACCAAAAATACGTTTTGAAAGTTGAGGGATCTACATAATACATCCGTACAAGTTTAGATATCGTTCATGTGCTTTACTCAATAATAGAATAATGATTATGATATTCTCCATCAAATTACTAGTTTTTAATTTTATATGGTGTCCTCTAACCGTGTCAGGTTTTTAGATGTCCACGGATAAATTATATAAATTTTGAGTACATTTTGATAAAATTTGCCATAACAAATACTTCATCCGTCCCGAAATATAAGGGATTTTACATCCACCTAAAATCCCTTATACTCCCTCCGTTTTAAAATGTTTGACACCGTTGACTTTTTAGCACATGTTTGACCGTTAGTCTTATTCTAAAAAAATTGTGAAATATGTAAAACTATATGTGCATATGAAAGTATATTTAACAATGAATCAAATGATATGAAAAGAATAAATAATTATTTAAATTTTTTGAATAAAACGAATGGTCAAACACGTATTAAAAACTCAACGGTATCAAACATTTTGAAAGGAGGGAGTATTTCGGACGGAGGGAGTAAATAAATAAATTTGACGTCATACAGGATTTCACCGCCCGTAAATCCGTATTTACCCGGAGAGGAACGTCGCCGCCTGTATGTCCTACCCCCACGTGTCCAGAGCCGCACGTGTAGCGCCGCAGGCGTACCGGCTGCCGCCCCGACTCTTGCAGTTTTGCATTTTTGCTTCGCGAGAACGGAACGGAACGGATCGGGCAACGGAGAAGAAGAAGGGAGGACGGGAGAAAGGACGGGGCACAAAAAGGCGGAGGAGAAAGGACTAAACCGCAAAAAAGAAAAGGCCGCAAAGGACTACGGACTCGGAGGCAAGCAGAAGCAGGTGATGATGGGGCAACGGCGTGCGGCTGCTGGTCCACACCGCGCCGTCCCGGGCCGGGGTATCATCACACATGCAGCGGGGCCCACGGCCCACATGCGCGCCCCTCCCTCCCTCTCAACCTCCCCTCCCCCACCACCGAATCGCACCCATCCATTTCAGCGGCAGCGGCAGCACAGTAAAAAATAGGAGTACTACTGGAGTACGTAGACCAAGTGGGATGCAGATCCTCTCCACTCCGGATCCACACATCAGTGTTTTTACTACCGTATTAACAGTACTGAAGTGACCCTCTCCTTCTGGTCTCGTTATTAGTTTATTGTCAATTACAACCAAAATTTCAATTTTAAAATTTAACTATAAAGTTAGTTTGAAAGTTGTCTTACAATAATCTAATTTTGACATTACTTTTGGATCGCACAAATATAAATTGTATTTCATATATTATTTATATTACCATGTTTATTTTTCTGTGGCTTATAGCTCGAACAATCGGAGCCTACACAGTAGAATACTGAATACACACACACTCTCTCTCTCTCTCTCTCCATCCCCACATACAGGAGTAGCTCATAACTTTACGATATTTTTTTTCGTCCACGTAATAATTGGACTGGATTAGCCGGGGGCCAGTACTGGATAAAACGGTTTCCTCCCTGATTGCCGAATTTTTGCAGGCTAACCTGCTGAAAATCTAGTAATCTTAAGGAGAGACGGACAAAAATAATCATCCAGAGAGAGGAGGAAGAACATTCGAAAGGGGAATCTTTGAGAGGTGTTTGCATACTACCACTGCATAATTAACCTGATCTTCTCTAGGAGCAATAGTGCAATATACAAAGTCGTTTACTGACTACCACTAAATGATAAGCTGCTCTCTTCAGGTTCAGTGTTTCGCCTGTTCGGTGCAAAGTGGACGGCCATACCGTTATGTGTTGAGATTCGACTAGAAAGTAGTAGATCAAAATGTTTTTTTTTTCTAAAAAAACAGCTTTTCTGAACTATGGCTGTTGCTAAGAGCTTGACGATATCTTCAGGCTTCAGGGATAATTTAAGTCGCTTAATTTTCAGTCCCAGAGAAAAGAACAGAAAATAGTTGACTACCGCACACAACATTGATAGCAGTAGCTAGGAATACTTAAGTTGCAGTATCAATTATCAGCCCATAATTCCGATCGGTAGCTGGTCGATGCATCCATGATAATGCATACCTAAACCATTGCAAACAGCCTAGCGACAGCTTGAACATATATTCTACTCCAGTACTAAGCTTGCACTACTCCTGCTCCATTCTTAATTTTCCCACAAAAGGAGAAGATACCGTGTCAAATCCTTTTCTAATTAAGCTACCTTTAATTAAGCCCCCTAATAATCCGTACGGTCCAAATAGTAAGAAGCTTCAGCTCACACAGAAATGTAGTAGTAGTAGCAGCAAGTACATACAGGACCGTACAGTAGAAAGAAAATTAAGAGACAGTGAGGCTTTGTAAAGAAAGAATGTTTCAATTCACTTGAAATGGTGGCAGAATAATCGCAGTAGTACAGTTATTTACACTGGCGAATTATTAAGTGAAAATAAGAAGAAGAAGAAGAAAGAATAAAAATCTCCGGTGCTAAATAATTTTCCCGGATTTGACAAGGGAATGGATGACTAGACTTGGCCGTCTCAAAATCCTAAGACTTTCTCAGCCATCTCACTTCACCGCCACCGCCGGCCGGTCGCCGATTTCTCTCTCTTTCTCTTGCTCCGGCGAGTCTCAGCTCCTCTCAAATGGCCATGGAGGGAGAGGGGAAAAAAGAGGACAAGAAGAGAAGAGAAAAAAAAAATGGTGGCAAGAACGGTCGCGCGCATGCACGCACGCGCAATGGCGAGCGGAGCGGCTAGCTAGGGGTGGGATCACACATCGCATTCACCACACGGCCTTGTCGGTGGCAATGCCGCGGAGGAGCGGGAGGGCGTCGCCGGCGGCGGCGCAGCAGCAGGAGAGGGCGCCGCTCTGGATGTCCTCGAGGGTGACGAACCGCGCGGCGGAGGACGGCGAGGAGAGGTGCCGGAGGACGTGCTCGAAGAGGCCCTCGTCGCAGGGGAGCGCGATGGGGCCACAGTAGGCGCCCGACGGGAAGCCGTACTCCTCCTCCGCCTGCCGGAGCAGCTCCCTGAACACCGGGTGGTTCAGGTGCGCCGCCCGCACCACGAACCGCCGCGACGCCCCGCCCACGCACACCGCCACGTGCCCCGCCGGCACCGCCTCCGCCGCCGCGCGCGCCGCGGCCCGGGACCGCCACCGCCGCAGCGTCTGCCGGAGCCAGACGATGTAGCGGATCTTGCTGCATTTGGCCATCGGCGACGACGACGACGACGACGCGGTGGGGGAGAGAGCCAGAGAGGTGTTCGTCCGTTGGTTGGCTCGGCTCGGCTAGCTGCTGTTGGGTGAGTTAATGGCGTGTGTGGGGGTGTGAGTTGGTGAAATGGAGGAGCTGGCTTTTCGAGTGGGCGGGGCGGGACGTTTTATAGGACGGGACAGACGAACTGGGAAAATGTTTTTGGGTCGTCCAGTTGGCTCGCAAAGTTTTTTAATACTACGGCGAGATGTGACTTTATTCTCCTATTTTATACTCCTTTCGTCCCTAAAATAAATTAATTTAATAGTGATGTAACACATGATATATTACTATAAAGTGAAAACTGTATTTAATCTTTTTTTATCTTGGGATTTTTGAATCATCGTTTGGTATGTATAGGAAACAAACATTGGAAAATTCATTTGGATTAGTAGTTTGCCCATGCATGCATATGTTGTCTATCTATGGTAGGGAAGCCCATTTGTAAGGAAAATAATTTCAATTGAGTTCTACGGTATGCTCCATTCCTCCATAGGTGAAAAAAATGTAAGCTTTCTTGTTCATTTTTATCATTTCCTTTTTTTCGATACATAGTATAAACACAGACACTTATATATATGTTAGTCTTATGAACATACACTTTTATACCATGTCCTTATAACTATCTTTGAGGAACTAGGACAATGTATCTTGAGACGAAGCTATCACATGTATATCACCATCAATGTGCATATAATTTACCACTCACATAATAATTATGTGTAACATGTGTCACAATGAACCTTAGTTCACTCCCTCCTTTGATATTCATTTTTTTGTTGGACCCTCCTTTGATATTCGTTTGTACATACCAAATTATTCAAGTGACGGAATGGAATGTTGATGTGTATGGATTTGCTGCTTGTTAAATTGGAAGTTTGTATTTCCTAGAGACTGACTCGCAATGTCGGTCAATAAATTTTTTCTCTATAACACTTAAGTCACATCTAACAATCAAATTCTTTTTTAGCCTCCCACAGATGCACCATTCTTTGGGATAGCTAATTGCCGAACTTACCCAAGTCACTTTAACGAGCGAACACGTTCCAACTTGGTGATCTATTAACTTCCAACTTGTGATCTATTAAGGCTAGAGTCTTTGATATTCATATTCCTCTTCTCTTTCTATTTGTTCCTCTCCGTGAACACAAGAGAGTGAAACCAAATCTAGCCTCTCCCATTATTCCCCCTTCATCCTTCCCGTTGCATCCCCTTCTTCACTGTCGTCAACCAGGTTTACGCCTTGTAGGCCACAACACATTAGAGGTTCTCGTCGTCTTTGGCGAGACAACGACTAGCCTGAGGTCCTCTTCATCTTCCTCCAAGATAAAGATCCCAAGCATTTGCTTCTACCTCCTTTTCGAACTAGACTTGTGCTTCATGATCGCAACCCCGATGAGGTTCCTTACATCCTTCTTCCTTAGATCTGGCCCACATATAAGCTTAGCACCCTTCTATTTTAGGTTGAAGGTTTCTGATTTTTTTAAGTAAAAACTTTCAAATATTCATATGAAAGTTTCATGATTTTGAGTAGATTTTTTTTAGTTTGGTTGAAAGTTATTGATTTTTTTAGTAGAAACTTTCAACTATTCAAATAAACTTTCATGATTTTGAGTAGAAATGTTTTGATTTTTTATAATTTCTTTAAAATCTTATTTGTAGAAAGTTTATACTATAAAAATATAAAGTTTATATAACAAAATTTTCTACCTATAAAAATATATATGCTGAAAGTTAAAGCTTAAAATCGCTTGCAAAAGGGAATAGGACACGTTTGCATGCACGGGGTCAGCACATTCACGCATGTCTTTTTGTCATTCTTCCCATAATTTGCAAGAGTTGGGTCTAAGAAGAGGTTTGATTTATATGTGGAGGGAGGAGCTTTTGGTTGGATGAAATAATTCCAGCTGGAAAAAAGTGTACAACATATTAGAAGAAAAGGATCGGAAAAGGACATGTGGTTGATGATATAGCCGTGCTGTTTTTTTCATTTCAAAATTTTGTAAGTCATCTATAAATATTGCTCATTACTCCTCTTTCACAACGCTCCAATGAAGGTCGATCTGTGATCTGAACGTTTTCTTCTAGAGTGCTGTAGCTATTTTGTCTAAGAATAGGATCCGAAAACTGTAGCCATGATATAGTTCTTGTTTGTACCTTGGACTAGCCATTAAATTTTGTGTGTCACTTTTTAGTTTATGTTCACAGCGATACATCATACATGCATGATAGTATGCATAAAAACGAATTGATGACTTCACTTGCATTTTCAGTGTGTTTTAATTTTTAAAACATGATGAAACAGGGCGCCAAATGTCATGTGTACATATTGTCTTTCTTTTTTTTGTACTAACGAATTGGCTGTCTCGCAAGAAATCCTACTCATGCACCACGGCATTCCATCTCCAACTTATCAACAAACTCCCTTTTCGCGTGGATAACATGAGCCCAATTATAAGGATCAAAACTTAATATTTCTTATGTTTTCTAATAAGCTCATCACACACATTGAAAAATGGTGGAGATGCAAGGACAAACCACGGACTGCTTGTGAACTTTCTGAAACAGGAATTGCAGAGTGCACCACAAGGCAGTGTCTAGCACATTTTGGCATCTTGCAGACGTGTAGCCGAATGCCCGTCGCATTCAGGGCCACTATAGCAAAGCTCACTTCCTATTTCGCCGCTACAAATCTGAAACAGGAGGCGCATTTGTCGTGCTGCATCGGTGACTCGACTCGCGCAAGCTAGCGTAGCGGCGTCGTACATAGTAACGTGGGTCGCTGTAGCTAAGCTGTAGCTTAAGCTTAACTGGGCGCACAATCTCACATCATCGCGAAGTCCCATCACATCGGCGGTGTCCCTGTGTCGAGCAGAGAGACGAGCTAGGAGGAATCGTTTACTTTGGGCCTGTTTAAGTTGGTGGAATGAAAATTTTTAGGTGTCATATTGAACGTTTTACCGGATGACGGAAGGGGTTTTCAGATACGAATAAAAAAACTAATTCCATACCTCGCTTGAAAATCACGAGACGAATTTTTCGAGCCTAATTAATTCGTCATTAGTACATGTGGGTTACTGTAGCATTTATGGCTAATCATGACCTAATTAGGCTTAAAAGATTCATCTCGCGATTTACATGTAAACTGTGAAATTAATTTTTTTTTATTTATATTTAATACTCTATATATGTATCTAAACATTTGATAGATGTTTTTAGGAAAATGTTTTTGGGAACTAAAAAGATCAGCTTGCTCAAGTGGTGGATCCCTGCGGCCAGTGACAGTGAGGTGGTCAGGGTGGCCAAGCAACTCATGAGCATGCAGGGTAGCTTAGCTTGGTGGTGTACTGGTGTGCTCGTGCATGTGACCCGGCTGTGTCCGGGGCTGAGCGGGCAGTCAATCGGGCTACATGTGCCCGAATTTGGTCTGTCTGAATTCCTGATCTCTCATCAGATTTTGCGCCTGCGTGATGGAAAAAATCCCTGCCGGTCCTGTACCTGTCAAAGATCTCCACCGCAGATTTCAGGCCATGCATGCCTCTCGCACCTAACGAGCTTAATTATTTGCACACGCCTCCACCCTTTTTGATACTGCATTTCATTTTGGCTAAAATGAGGATGATTCATCTTGGCTTGTTTAAGTTGGGAAAAAGAAAATTTTTAGATGTCACATCGGACATTTGACCGGATGTCGGAAGGGGTTTTCGGACACGAATGAAAAAACTAATTTCAGAACTCATCGGGAAACCGTGAGACGAATCTTTTGAGCCTAATTAAGCCGTCATTAGCACATGTGGGTTACTGTACCACTTATGGCTAATCACGGACTAATTAGTCTCAAAAGATTCGTCTCGCGATTTCCCCCCTAACTGTACAATTAGTTTTTATTTTTATCTATATTTAATACTCCATGCATATGTCTAAAGATTTAATGTGATGTTTTTGGGAAAAAAAATTTGTGAACTAAACGGGCCCTTACTAACTGGTTGCCATGCTCTTCCTTCTTCAATTAAAAAGTTCAGTAAGTTTGCAGTACGATAAACAATTGTTTGGCAATGCCATCCATAGTGGGTAGGAAGTGCATTACGACATTTTAACGATCCCTAACCGCCATGTGCACTCTACTAGTGTAACTAATTAAGCCTTTTGTCGAGTAAGGATTTGTTATACTATATAGGGTGTTCCATTCTTACTAGCTATAGCGCTGGTACATCTTCTTTGACAAAATTAAGCATCGATCCGGGCGGTTCAGTCGTGCGTCCGTCCAGAATCTGATCCCTGTCAAAAGCCGTGATACCGGTTAACTGTCCTGAAGCATCGACATGCTTCCCAGGTAAGCAACTAGAGACTACACATGCATGCTTCCGTTCCCTTTTCCTAGCTAAGACCTCGGCTAATTAAGTTAACCCAAGTCGTCTCGTCAGTCGTCAGTCACTGATCGCAGCATGCAGCGTCTACTGTTGCACGTGCCACACTGAAATCACGCAGATGCGTGTACCTGCTCTGCGTGCGTACATATGGTCCAAAAGACTAGCTAAGCTCGCCCTTGCATGCAAAAAGAACTCCGATAAAACTGGCGTCGTACACGCTCCCGGCTGGGCCGACCGGCCGCCGCGGACTCCACGATTCGCTAGGTAGATAACGCGATACGAATACCAGCAAGATGCCCCGCATGCATGCTCGCCCAGGTGCAGTGGAGAGAGTGTGGCCGCGGCGCGCTCTCCACGTGCATGCCGCCGCGCGCGCGGCGACGAGAGGAGGATTTCGTGCCGGATTGGGCCGCGCCGCGTACGTCGTCGTTCGTTAGCCCGTCGCCGTTGCGCCCGCGCGCGCGCGGGCAGTTGGAATATGCTCGCGTCGCGGCTCGCGGCACGGCACGGCACGGCGCGGCGCGCCGCGCCGCGCGTTTGATTTGGCCCCGGGTAAACGCCGCGCCGCGCAAGTGATCCCCACACACCGCGCGCGCGACCAACACCCATGTGCCGTGGCTGTTGCCGCGGCACGCCGTAGTAGGCGCGCGAAGTAAATGTGCAGGCGGCGGGGAGGAGGCCGCGCGAGCCGGCATGCTACGGCGTTTGTGGCAGTTTTCGCCGGCCGGTTTGGGTGTGGTTGGTCGCAGGGTACGAGCGTACGTCGG